CCCTTGAGCCACAGTGCCACTTCCGGCTTTTTCTGCTTATGTGGTGCTGAGGAATCGAACACAGGGCCTCATGCATGCAAGGCAAGGAATCTACCACTGAGCCACCTTCCCAGCCCAACCACAATCTTTTTTAACTCAGCTTCCCTTGTAGTTAAGATTTATAGGTGCTTGCTACTGCACCCAATTGTAGGTTTAAGGGGTCTTTTTAACCTTTCCTGCCCAGGCAGGCATTGAACTTCAGTCCTCCCATTCTCAGTTTCGCACATAGCTGTTGCTGAGCCTGAATAGAGATATTTTAAATGATATAATACAAACTTTTTCACATGTAATTTAGTTTACTTTTTCTACTTCCCAACCTAAGTAACAACTGATTTAACCACTATTTATGGCTAGTTTCAGCATTTCTAAGTAATTTTCTGTATTCTTTTGAGCCCCTATTTTTATGTGTTTTTTAAGTTAAAACAACATTATAAGCTAACCACTGGTGGCTCATGCCTGTATTCCTAACTACCAGGAGACAGGTCTAAGTAATATGGTTTGAAACCTGCGTAAGCAGAAAAGTCTGAGACTCTTATCTCCAATTAAACACCAAAAAAAGCACACATATGGACTTTTCTGCCTGGGTTGACTTCAAAATGTGATCCTCTGAACTCAGCCTTCTAAGAAAGTAGGGTTACAGGTGTGAGCACCAGTGCCTGGCAAGTATTGATTTTTAGAAATACCCTACTCTTTGAGAAGTGTTGACCTGAAGGAGAAGGCATTTTTAGCCATAAGTACATAGTTTTGGAATTAAAAACATATAAGTGAAAAGAAAAATTCTTTTGTCAGTTGTGGGGCTTGAACTCAGGGACTGGGTTCTGTCCCTGAACTTTTTTTTAAGGCTCAAGGCTAGTGCTCTACCACTTTGAGCCAAAGCACCACTTCCTTTTTTCTGGTGGTTAATTTGAGATCAGAATCTCATGGACTTTCTTGCCAGGGGTTGGCTTTGAACAGTGATTCTCAGATCTCAGCCTCCTGAGTAGCTGGGATTACAAACCACCAGCATCGGTTCTTACTTGTAAATCATGAGTCTTTCAGCTTAATTGTGATGAATCATTTCCCACACTTTGAAATATTCTATGAGCACATGCATTTGGGCAACCCATGTTAAAGTTAAGTAGACCAAACTCTTCTTTTGCACTACTTTCTTCTTTTTCATTTCTTTTCTTTTCTTTTCCCTCCCCCCCCCTTCTTCTTTTGGTGGGTTGTGGGGCTTGAACTCAGGACCTGGGTGCTGAGCCTGAGCTCTTTTGAGCCACAGCTCTACTTCTGGTTTTCTTGTGGCTAATTGGAGATAAGAATTTCAGGGCCTTTCCTTCCTACTGGCTTTGAACTGTAGTCCTCAGATCTTAACCTCCTGAGTAGCGAGGATTACAGGCATGAGCCACTGGCACCCGCCTTTTGTACTACTTTTAGTTTCCATTGTACATGATCTATTTAAATATGGGAAGGTAAATGGTACTCATCACTTTACAAATTTAAAGATATATGCATACCTATTCACATCTTAGAAAATCTGGACCCATCAGTAATACTAGTCTTCATTTTTAAAGCTATCCTTTTTTTTTTACTACTTTTTCAACTGTGAGTGACATGCTTCTCAAATACTGAGCCTTAGATGTTTGAAAATTATCTTTATAAATAACAGTCCATAGAAATTTCCCAAAATCATAACTTCTAAAGGATTTTTGGTTTGTGTTTGGACTAGCAGAGGGATTTGAAAGCTTGGAAACCACACAGGTTTCCATTTTTCTTGGAGTCATACAGCTTTAAAAACTGTAACAGTGTCACCACTGATGTTTTGTTATTTGAATCTAGTCAGAAAAAAAATGTGTTGTTGAGCTTGAGTCCCTGGCTGATCCTGAGCCCCTAGTCTCAGGTGACCCTTCTGCCTAACCTTCAGAGTAGCTGATATACCATATACTAGCTCAGAATAACCTCACTTTTCATGGTGCTGACATTCAAAGGGAAAATGAAACTGAACAAAAATAAAAGTAAAACTTAGAATATATAGATTAGGCATTCTAGCTAGCTTCATTAAATCCTTACAATGCTTCATTCATTTTTTTCTTGCTTTCTATTTATATCTATTGATGTTAGGAAATTTATTAAATGATAAAAAAAATCTTGAGCGAGGCATTAGTGGTTCACATCTATAATCTTAAGCTACTCAGGCAGCTGAGATCTGAGGACCATAGTTTGAAGTCAGCCCGGGAAAGTCTGTGAGACCCTTAACTTCCAATAAACTATCCCCTCCAAAAGACAACCAATGCCCTCCCCTCCGAAAAAAGGTGCTGGAAGTAGTGCTGTGGCTCAAATGGTAGGGCACTAGCCTTGAGCAAGAGAAGCTCAGGGGTAGTAACCTCAGCACCCCTCCCCAAATAATTCTGATAGCTAAAGTATTTAGGTTAGTATAAGTCCAAATGAAATTTCTTGAAAAAATTGTATGCATTTCCTTGATAGTCTAATTTTACGTAACAACAGATAACTTATTATATCTGTAATATATTACTTATTATATCTGTAGTTATATCTGTAATTTTTAAAACTGATTTTTATCATTAACGTTTGAACTTTAATGCAATTGGAAGAGTTTAAATAAAAGTAGGAAAGCTTATTAATATGCCTACTTGTACTATGTGACCAAACCTTCCAGTGCTCTGTAAGTGATTTCATTTTTATTTAGAAATAATAGAAGAAAGTTAAAATATTTAAAAGCTATAGTGGTAATAAAACTAATAAGATTTAGTTTTTGCTGAAGGGAAAAAGTGTTAAAAGATATAGAGATGTAGAAAATTGCTGATTCTGGTCAGTATTCTTCTAGGAAACATTTGATCAGTACTCTGTTAGGAAACATATCTTTCAGAGGACAAGCATATCACAGTCTTTGGAAATAGTATAAAAGTATGGATAGATAAAAGTACTTTTTAAAAAATGATCTGGGTGTGATGGCTTATATATGCAATCCTAGCTTTTCAGGAGGCTGAGACAGAAAAGGTCAGGGTTGGAGGCCAGCCCAAGCTCCCCTCAAAATCATGAAGACCCCCCCATCTCAGCCATTAAACAAATTGGACACTGTGGCATGTGCCTTTCATACCCAGAAATGTAAATAGGATTCAGTCCAAGACCATCCAGACAAAAATTAAGATCCAGGGCTAGAGATGTGGCTTCAGCAGTAATATCCCTCACTAGCAAGTGCAAGATCCTGAGTTCAAACCCTAGCACTACCAAAAAAAAAAGTGGTACAATTATGTGAAGTGAAAGAAAGTTATAATACAAGCCATAAAAGTAAAGCTCTGTAGACTTTTGGCTGCAGGGAAACAGCAGGAATAAAATTATTTCTATTGTGTTTGGAAGGTAAGAAATAGCAGGTCCCTTGAAACCTAACAGGTTTACTTGGGAATTTGACAAGAAATTGGAAAGGGCAACTTTATTAGAACATGGCCTAGGTGTGTGTGTTGGGGGGGGGGGGAGCCAGGGGGTGGCAGTGACAAAAACTAAAGATGGAAACACTGGCCTAAGCAGTTGCTGACCAGTATCCCAACACTGGAATTGCATATGCCTTAATAGCGTGCACAGCTTTAATCCAACATGCTTAAGAGTTATAGCAGTACATATGTCGTTTCTGTGCTAATTTCATCCTCAGTTACAATTTGTGTAGGTTAGTTTTTTTACATGACAGGTCTTTCACATCATGAATTACTCAGTCATATGTCACACAGGAAAGTAATAAGTTATTGAGTATTCATTATGTGCCACTCAGCCATCTTTGGTTATCTTAAACAGTGACATTATTTTTGTTTGTATTTTACAGTTTTTGAGTCAGTGTCTCTGAGTTCAGATTCTCTCTTCCAGAGGGCAGTTTCAATTCTCCACACTTCTTACTTGGATTCTGCATCTGAGCATGGTTTTCAGTATAGTCAAGTGACTTTTGTGAAAAATGACATTTTCTTAAATGAGGTGAGGTATTTGGTACTTTCTGTGTTTGTGAATTAGTTTTACTTTAGTTTCAAGGGAAATGAATTCATCATCATATATATGTATACACACACACATATATACATATAAACCTAAGTCTTAAGAGTATTTTATTGTGTGTGAAATACTAGAACTTGAACTCAGGGCCTTGGGGTTTCAGCTTTTTTTATTCACAGCTGGTGCTCTTATTGCTGAGCACTCCCTTCCATCTCTTTTGTTGGCTAATTAGAGATAAGTCTCAGACTCTTCTGCCTGAGCTGGCTTCAAAATATAATGGTCAGATCTTCATCTCATGAATACCTAAGATTACAGATGTGAGCCACCAGATATAACTCTTAAGATAATTTCTTAGCTATTTATCAAATAAAAGATCCCTGGAAATGGTCACTTAGGAGATAATACATTCTAGGGAATAGAACAATAATGTGTTTACTTAAGTAAACACGTGTGTGTTTAAACATATGAGATGATAGATTTAAAAACAAATTAGTTCTTAAAATTGGTAAGAGAGGGGCTGGGAATGTGGCTTAGTGGTAGAGTGCTTGCCTAGCATGCATGAAACCCTGGGTTTGATTCCTCAGTACCACATAAACAGAAGAAGCCAGTGATAGAGTGCTAGCCTTGAGTACAAAGAGGTTCAGAGACAGAGTCTAGGCCCTGAGTTCAGGCCCCAGGATCTCTTCCCCCCCCCAAAAAAAATTAGAGAGCTAGGCGCCAATGGCTTATATAATCCTAGCTACTAAGGAGGCTGAGATCTGAGGATCATAGTTAAAAGCCAGCCTGGGCAGGAAAGTCGGTTGAGATTCTTTATCTCCAATTAACCACCAAAAAAACTGGAAGTAGTGCTGTGGCTCAAGTAGTAGAGCAAAGAGCTCAAGGACAGTGCCAAGGCCCAGAGTTCAAGCCCCACGATCGACAAAAAAAAAAAGGTAAGAGAAAGCAGTATGTTTATAGGATATATTCTCTTTTTTTATACAGTACAAAGCCTTTTACCAACAAAAACAAACAAGTAATTATACTGAGGAAGAACTTCAAGAAACTTATGGGTTTTTCCTGCTTGAAACTGAAAATCAGGTAAGAAAATCAGATTGCATAAAATTAATGATATTGTTAGCCATAAATATTGGTATTTCAGTTTTATGAGATTGTAGGAAGACTTGTATTTTTATTTAGGTGAGTGTCATTGTAAGTAATACTAAAAGCTAATCGTGAAACAGATTTAAGTTTTTAGAACTTTACAGTTCTTCTTTAAAATCTAAGTTTCTAACTAGGCACTGGTAGCTCACACTTGTAATCTTAGCTACTCAGGAGTCTGAGATCTGAGGATCACAGTTTGAAGCCAGCCTAGGTAGGAACAGTCCATGGGACGTTAACTCCAGTTAACCACCAGAAAACCGGAAGTAGTACTGTAGTTGTAGCTCATGTGGTACAGCGCTAGCCTTGAGCAAAAGAACTCAGGTATAGTGCCTGAGTTCAAGTCCCATGACAGAACAAAAAAAAGTGGTAAAATTTATATGAATATGGGTTTCTTTCATTACTACAATTTTTAAAATTGCTATTATAAAAGGGGGGTTACAGTTACATAAGCCAGATTATACTACAGTTTCAATGCCGTTGAATGCATGGACACTTTTTCATTAATCAGTGTTTATTTCTGTGGGGGTTTTTCAGATTTAAATTGCATGGTTTTGAGGATAATAAGATGAACACTTCTTTCTTATTCAGTATTCTAGTTAATTGTTTAAAGATTGAACATTTTTATTATTTTCCTTGCCTAAATTGGAGGAAAAGGAAAGCACTGTGTATGTCTCCAGAGATAATGTGTAGTGTCTAAGAAGGAGGGATCTATCAATACAATTAAATTTGATATTAAAAAGTAATTTATAAGGCTGAGAATGTGGCTTAGTGGTAGTGTTTGCCTAGTATGCATGAAGCCCTGCGTTCGGTTCCTAAGTACCACATAAACAGAAAAGGCCAGAAATGGTTCTGTGGCTCCAGTGGTAGAGCACTAGTCGAGCACAAGAAACTCATGGACAGTGCCCAGGCCCAGAGTTCAAGCCCCAGAATTGGGAGGGAGGGGGAAGAATTGATAGATAGATAGATATAGATATATAATTATGTAGGTTACATTACAGGCTTATAAAAATCAAAGATATATTTGCCTAAGGAATAATTAAAATATGTGGATTTACACTAAAAAAGACACTTTCAAACTAAATAGTTATAAAGCAAGAAACCTTCAAGAGAATACTTAAGTATGACCTTGTTGAATTTTTTTTTCGTGACACTTTTGTTAATAGAAATGGTAAAAAGCAGGGCTGGGAAGTTGGCTCAGTGGTAGAATGCGTGCCTTGCATTCATGAGGCCCTGGGTTCGATTCCTCAGTACCACATAAGCAGAAAAAACCGGAAGTGGTGCTATGGCTCAAGTGGTAGAGCACTAGCCTTGAGCTGAAGAACTGAGGGACAGTGTCCAGGCTTAGAGTTCACTCCCCACGACTGACCAAAAAAAAAAAAAAAAAAAGAAATGGTAAAAAGCTTATGACAGTCTTTGGATCATTAATCAAAAGACAATTGTATGAATTTGCTCTGTGCTTTGTTTTGTATTTTAACCTTTTTAGATTATGTACCCACTGTTTAATTTGCTTATCCCAAGACTGGTAATAAACAAAACAGTATCTTTTGTTTAAAGGCAAAATTGATATGTCAGCGTGGACTCTGTGTTGGTAGCAGTGCTGTTACTACTCTTGGTGATCCAGCCAAAGGTGAGGCTGTAAGGAAGAAAAGAATCTCTTATTTTACTTGATGAACTGAGATTTAATTCCATAAGAAATATTAAAACTAGTTTCATTATTTTCAAACAAGTAATCTTTAGAGTTAGAACTTTAAACATAGGGGTTTTGAATCTGAAGCTTACAGTATTCTTCAGTGCCGAATGTTTAGTACTGACTTGAGGATTTCCTCTTAACTATCATAATGGCAGTAAGTAAGTAGAACTGAGTAAGAGAGGGAAGAATCAAATGTAAGGTTCCAAACACATACCATAATATTATTAGTAAAAAAGACACAAGATGAGAGAAGCAGATTGTTTGGAATTGCTAATTAGTTAAGAAACGCTAGTGATATAATGGTGAAGAACACAACGGTTTTGTAAATTTCAGCTTTCTCATTGGAAAATAGATTGGGCTATTTTGTAGAGTTGGTGTGAGGACTGAGACTTTATAAAATGCTTAATTAGCCAGGAATTTGTACCAAGTAGTTTATTAATAAAAGTTTGCCATAAGTACTTCTGAAACAGAAAAGGGACCAGAACCAGGGCAGAAGTGAGAGAATATTGCTTGAAGCCAAGTCATTGTTAGGCACAATAGTATAGGAGAAGATGGCAAAGAACAGAACTTCTAAATTGGTAATGGGACCTGGTGTCCTACACTGGGATGGATGATGTTATAGAATGAAAAAGAGGCAAAAGCAATCCATTACATGGAGAATTTGTAGGTAGAATTTGACACATAATCAAAGGATCTCAACTGAAGAGAATGTTCAGCAGTGCCGAGTTCTAGAGAATGTAGGACTAGAAAGGATTATTAGGTCTTCACTAGATTCTTGCTGACTTGTTAAAAAAATGTTAAATTCCCAACATAAAAAGTCCCTAAACAAAACAGTAACAACAAAACTACTTTAAAATGGGTATATAATATAGCATGTACAAAGTTGTATGATTGAAGTTGTACTCTGGTGGTTCATGCCTGTAATCCTGGCTAATCAGGATACTGAAATCTGTAGATTGCAGTTCAAAGCCAGTCCAGGCAGTCTGTGAAACTCTTACCTCCAATTAACCACCAAAAATCATGCTGTGGCTCAAAGTGTACAGTGCTAGCCTTGAGCAAAAAAGCTCAGGGAACCACTAGTCTACTTTGTGTGTTTAAGAATTTGCCTATTATGAAAGAACATTCCTGTGAATGAAGCCATATATTATATAATCTTTTATGTATAATTATATTTATTTAGGATAATGGCTTTATCCATATTATAGCCTGTACTTCATTTCTTTTGTAGTTGAATCCTATATATTTATATCACATTATCTTTGTTCATTAGTTGGGCATTGTTTCATATATTCTGAATGTGAAGATATATGAATAATGCTACTATGAATATATGTTTAAATGTATGTATTCATGCTTTCATTTCTCTTGGGTATAAAGCTAGCAATGGAATCATTGGGTTATATGGTAATTAGAAAACACAAAAATTTTAAGTTATATTCATCTCATTGCTTAAGAAAAAATAAGCTTATTTAAGAGTAAAAGGAGGGATTTCTCCTTATTCCCCTTCTCCAGATGAAGTGTATCTATTACTATCTTTCACAGAGCTTTTCTTCCACTTTCCAGTAAACTTAATTTTTACTTAATTAAACTTACCTTTAAACTTAATTGTGAAAGGAAAGCCATGAAAGAAAGTAGTGAGACTGTCCATCTGAAGAAGGGTCCAAAGAAGACCAGTGAATCCTCTCGGAGGGCAGTTTTATACTATAGGACTCCCCTCAGATCTCCTCTCCTGGGCGTTGCACTGATTGCTTGATGGTTTGTACGTGTCACCTCAGCTCTTTCCATTCGTTATCAGGTACCCAGGGCATAATGGGAAGAAGTGTTTGAATGGGAACTTAGAGCATTATAGAAAGAAGCAGCATTTGAGCAGAATCCTGAGGCACTGAGAACAAGAAACACCATGAGGGCTGGGAAGGTGGCTCAGTGGTAGAATGTTTGCCTTGCACACATGAGGCCCTGAGTTTGATTCCTCAGCACCACATAAGCAGAAAAAGCTAGAAGTGGTGCTGTGGCTCAAGAAGTAGAGCACTAGTCTTTGAGCTGAAAAACTGAGGGGCAGCACTCAGCTCCAGAGTTCAGGCCCCATGACCGAAAAAAAAGAAACACCATCATATGGGACACATGTTATCTGCCATGTGTTATGTCTGTTAGTATTTATCCTCGTCTACCTCATAGTTCCCCTTTTTCTCTCATTCCCCTTCTCGATATAATCTCTAACTTCTGTAAGAGAACATAAATGATGACTACTGCAGACTGTTTCTGCTCAGCATGAAGTATGGCAGTCTGGAATCCTCCAAGCACACAAGATGTCCATGGTAAAACTAGAGGACAGTCTAAATAAAGCATCTTTTTTAATGGCCATTTGTAACCTGATGGACTCCAGTCTAGAAGAAACAAGACTTAACAAGCAGGTTGAAAATACAGGAATTCTTTTACTAGAAAGGGGTCCCAGGAAAGATAGCAGTCAAGACAGCCAGGAGCAGATGTCTCTCCCCATAAGAGCCATTCTTGAGTAACTTGTTCTCTATGAGAGACCTTATAAAAGATTAATTTGTGGATGTTAGTTTGGACTTTTCCTGATCTGTTAACCCCCATACACTCTTTGTCATGGCCAAGCCCTGTCTGAGCAGCTGTGAGCATATCTAAAGCTCTTCTTTTTTTGTAGAACCACGGCTGCTAGGGAGTCAGTTTGTCCCTGGACATTATAAAGGTTTGGGCTAAAGTCATTGACTATCCCTTGCAACAAATCTTAACATACTAGAGCAGAATAATTTCTCCTATTCATGACTCCATGCCTGATGTAATTGTAGAGCCTACCAGCAAGAGGTATAAGTTGGATAGCACTCTTTTAAGAAGCTGTGTATGCCCATACATGATAATAATAACATAATAATGTACTATTATTTATATATATATATATATATGATAATAACATGACAGGGTACAAAACTTACAGGGAGACACTCCAGTATCTCTTCCTCTCTGGCCTCTATTGTTGTTCCCCAAGAGAATCCATGTCCAAGAGAACACAGAGTTTGTTCCCATTTAATGTGTCTAAAAGCCCAAGCCCTAAAAAATTTTAAATGTTAGAACATGCAGCATTTAACCCAAAGGAAGACAGAGGCAGCACCCAAAAGAAGACTCAAAGCAAGCTATGCTTGCCAAGCGAGCACCCCCAAATTATTGGGTGAAGAAAGCAGTTAAGAGTCCAAGCAAGGGCTGGGAAGGTGGCTCAGTGGTAGAGTGCTTGCCTTGCATGCTTGAGGCCCTGGGTTTGATTCCTCAGCACCACATAAGCAAAAAGAAAAAAGCCGAAAGTGGCGCTGTGGCTCAAGCGGTAGAGTGCTAGCCTTGAGCTGAAGAGCTGAGGGACAGAGCCCAGGCCCAGAGTTCTGGCCCCACAACCGGACCCCCCCCAAAAAAAAAAAGTCCAAGCAATTGAAAAAAGGTGCTTGCAGAATAGAACAGAGGTAAGGAGGATAATTCTTAGCTACTGCAGAAACTTACTTGTTAGATCCAAGATACCGAGTCACACAAAAATAAATTCAAGTCAGAAACAGCCATATGCCTCCTCATCACTGATGAGTTCTCAAATGAAGTGATCTAGAGAAATGGATTTATTTTCTCTGCCCAATATAGAATTAAAGGCTGGAAAGTGTTTAAGCAGTAAATTAAAAGAATAGCTATGAAAGAGAATCTTTTCGTGCAAACTAATGATCATGAGGGTTGTAAGTTTTAAACCCTAGGAACTGTTTTGCATTATTGCTTTCTTATGTATTTTAAGAATTTGAAAGTTGGGTGCTGATTGCTCATGCCTGTAATCCTAGCTACTGAAATTTGAGGATTGCAATTTGAGGCTAGCCCAGCTAGGAAAGTCTACCACTTGAGCCACAGCACCACTTAGGGTTTTCTGGTGGTTTATTGGAGATAAGAGTCTCATGGTCTTTCCTGTCAGGGCTGGCTTGAACCGTGATCCTCAGACCTCAGCCTCCTGGGTAGCTAGGATTACATGCATGAGCCACTGGTGCCAGTCCATACCAGGATTTTTATTATCTAATAGCTTTTCTTTTTCTGCCTCAATGTTCAACACTGTGGCCTATATATGTCATAAATAATTTATCATCTTTTAGGCGTCTGTATTTTCATTCATTTGCCTATGTAGGATTTATTCTCTGTCTAAAGAACTTCTTGCTCAAATATATTAACTTTTTTCTCTTTGGCCAGTCCTGGGGCTTGAACTCTGGGCCTAGACACTGTCCCTGAGCTCAAAGCTAGTACTCTACTTCTTGAGCCACAGCACCACTTCTGGCCTTTTCTGTTTATGTGGTACTGAGAAATTGAACCCAGGCCTTCATGCATGCTAGGCAAGCACTCTCCCACTAAGCCACATTCCTAGCCCTAAATTAACATTTCCATGTTTTTCAAGTTTTTTTTAATACATACTGTTGATTATTTCAACATGTTCTTGACATATATTTAAATGTCTACTATATTTTGACCTATGATGTGACTGAAGTGGAAAAAAGAAGTATAACTGTCTTGATAGAGGCAGGAACCTTTTTTTGTTTACTTTTATCACTGCTCAGAAATCTATATAGTAAACTCCTGGTGCATATGATTAAAGAAAAGTGCTTTCTAATATTTTTTTGTGAACTATACATTGAGAGTCATTATCATAAGCCTTTTGGTTGGATGATTATACAGATAGAAAAATAGAAGGAAAGTCAAACAGAAACAGATTTTTTTTCTAAGAATGTGATACTTTTTATCCTTTTTCAGTTACTGTGCCGAAATAGAAAATTGGTTGTCAAGTATCCTTTACTTTTAAGTTTCTGTTTCTTTAGAATCTCAAAATGGTGATTACTTAAAAGGTAAATGAGGCAGGCACTGGTGGCTCATGACTGAAATTCTAGTTACTCAGGATGCTAAGATCTGAGTGCAGTTCAAAGCCAGCCTAGAGAGAAAAGTCCCTGTGAGACTCTGATCTCCAGTTAACCACTTAAAAACAGAAAGTGTTGCTGTGGCTCAAAGTGGTAAGAGCACAGAAGAGCAGAAGAGCCCAGGGACAGCACCTAAGTCCTGAGTTCCAGCTGCAAAACTGCTCCCCCCCCCCAAAAAAAAAGGTAAATGAGATCAAAGCAATTTTTAATGGACTTGTTCTTTGGGTAGTGTTATTGCTTAAATGTTATGTTTTTGGTTTTTTTGTTGTTTTAAGTAGTTATACAAAGGAGTTTCAGTTAAATCAGATTATGAATTCAGTGAGTCTTGATCAGTGTCACTCCTTACATAGTTCTTTCCTATATATTTTTTGTTATATGTAAATTGTATTTGAGTAGATACTTTCTTAAAGTGTAAATTAATCTATGTTTTATACTTTTAAAGGTGTATACATTTCCAAATATTCAGACTATCTTCATCCAAGACCATGGTGCCATGGGAAATCTGGTTATATTGTCATTTTTAATATAATTAAGGTAAAGCCCACATGTGCTTTTATGTAATATTAAAAATTGAAGTTTGTCAGCCTAAATTTCTTTGTACATTATTAGCCACAGTTCTTATCTACTAAGACATCTATCCAAATTCAGAAAAATGACACTGTATTTTCTTTTTTGGCACTATTGAGGTTTAAATTCAGCTTTGTGCTTGCTCGGCAAGTGACCTACCATTTGAGCCACACTATTTTTCAGATAGCCTTGAGTTTTTACCCAAACCTCACTTTAGACCTTGATCCTCCTACATATATGGCCTAACACAGAGCTGGAATAACAGATATATACCACCATGCTCTGCTTATTTGATTGGCATGGGGGTCTCACTAAGTTTTATCTGAGCTGGCCTTGAACCTCCATCCTCTCAATCTCTACCTCCAAGTAGTTTGCATTACAAGTATGAACCACTATACTTGCCTTCTTTAAAGACAAAGCTCAAGTTTGTTTTAATAATCTGTGAATATATTTTTAAAAGAAACTTCAAAATAATAAAAAGTATTTACTGAGAAGTTTCTCTCACTGATGTCTAGGAAATTAATGTTTTAAAAAGTGAAATAACAAGTAGTTGTTTACGCAATGAACATGGCTATAAAAACTGAACCTTAGAAGATAGCATGTATTGTCCAACTAAAGTGGTTAAATAAAAATTCATTTTCTTTTTCTTTTTTTCCTTTGCCGGTCCTGGGGCTTGAACTTAGGGCCTCAGCACTATCCCTGAGCTTCTTTGCTCAAGGCACTACAACACCACTTCCAGCCTTTTCTGTTTATGTGGTACTGAGGAATCAAACCCAGGACTTCATGCATGCTAGGCAAGCACTCTACCACTAGGCCACATTCCCAGCCATCTTCATTTTCTTTATCCTTCAAATACCCAGCCCTGTTCGCAGCTTCATGAGACACCACTAGTAGTGATCTTACAAATTCTAAATGTCCTAAATAATGAAGTTTTTTAGTAAATCACTCAGTTAGAATATTCATCCTAATAGTAGTGGAACTCTGATTTCAGAAGGGGTAGGGGTGCTTTCTGTGATCTTACTTTGCTTGGCAGTCTTTTAGCTTTCTTACTATCTTAAGTTCTTTGGTTTATAAAACCCAAACTACTGACCACCCTCCTGCAGGCTAGCATTCTACCACTTTCCAGCCTTTTGGTGCTTTATTAGAGCTAAGATTCTCATGGAATCCCCCCTTTCCCCCCTTGCTGGCTTTAAACACAATTCTCAGGTCTCAGCCTCCTGAGTAGTTAGAACTACAAGTGTGAGCCACTGGTGCCCCAACCTGACTGTTTTTTTTTCCCTAAGAGAATTCTCTGTATTTCAACATCTATTCTCTAAAAGTGAAGAGCAAGTAACACTACTTTGCTGTACAGTACCTGCTTTTTCCTCCTTAATCCTTATTTTCTTGCTCTAAGATCAGTGGTATAAGAAAGTATGCCTGTCAACACAGATAGTAAGCATTTGATTTTTTTACATGTGTTAGATTCTACTTCTCTTTTGGTTTCTTGTCCATGAATACTCCAGATTGGCTGGATATTTCTGTTTAACTTTTGCCAGTGCTCTCTATTGTCCTTATTTATTTCACAAAAGAGAATCATACCTGAAGCCATAAAATGCTTGATGGGGAAAAGATAGAGGTGATTATTTTAAAACAGAGCTAATAACATTCTTTGGTTTCTTAGTATAGCTTTTGGTGATTATATAAAGAAGAGGATTTTAAACTCATGCACACACACGCACGCGCACACACACAATCTTGCTTCAAAGAATGTCGTTTTCTGGATGTGGTTGGTAGTAGTTGCCTGCAATGCCCACACTCAGGAGGCAAGAGGATGGACAATTCCAGGCCAGCCTCAGCTGAATAGTGAGATCTGAAAATAAAAAGAATGCAGTTACATCTGTCTTAAAATTTAAATTGCCTACAATCCTATACTCCCTTGATATATGTCATATATATTTGTATTTCAATTTTATATTTCAATATTTTTCATGTAGATAGACTTCATAACCCCAAAAAGGTCTTATACTTTATTCTTAAACATAATAAGAATAATTTCTTATTTTATATTATCTTAAGACATTTCCGCATGTGGTAAAACTTTTCATTTCCTTTTTCCATTGCTGGAGATGAAACCCAGGCCTTGCCTGTATTAGACGAGCCCTATCACTGAGCTATATACCCTCAGTCTCAGTAAACTTAACTTTAACCATTGTGAAGAGGTCTGTAATGGGAAATACTATGACTATTCTCTCATTGCCAATTTCCACAAAGCACTTTCCTACATATTTGCTCCTTCTGGACTTTCTGAGCCCTAGTATAAATATATTTAGTTTTATACTTGAGTTTGAAAAGTGATTTTTAATAATTTTATATTTCATTTTTTTCTGTTATAGTCAAGTAAATGTATCATAAAAGATAGTGGGCTAGTTTTTCTCATAAATTTGTTCTCTTAAATTTGGGATGCGTATATATTTATTTGATAATTGTGTTAAAGGTTATTGGTATCCACCTCAAAAAGGGTATTGTTCTTATTCAACTTACTAAAAATGCATCCACATTCCTATTAGACCACCTTTAAATAAATTCTGCAGTTAAAGTTACTGCTATTTGAAGAAGACTGATAAGTTTTATTATTTTCATTCTAGGGAAAAGTCAAGTTTGTGTCTGAGAATTACACAACTAACTACACCAGGCCATCTTCGGGCTATGACTGCCATGTGGCTAAACATGCTCACAAAGTTTCTGACAAGACAAGCCATTTTCGTGCCTTTGAACTGAGTCAGGTATATTGCCTGTGAATAAATAATATCTAAGATGTATTTCTGAATTAAATTTGTCAGATTTCGAGATTGGTTGGGGTTGAGATAATCTTAATGTGTATGCAGTTTTCATACTGCTAATAATGCTTATTTTTCTTTTTCAGTGTTACCTCTATGAACTTTCAGGCAACACTATTATTAATCGACCCAGACAAGTTTGTCCTTTTTTAATTGTAGCTTTTCAATACAGGGAACCTAAAACCATGGCAGCACCAGCTTATGAAAGCATGTAAGTAATGAATGTACATGCTTTGTTTTGCTGGATGTGTTCCTCTTGCTCTTAAAAAATGTTCTTTTTTTTTCTTTTATAGGTTTGAACTCAGTGTAGATGGTAAGAAATTATTACTTTCTTTTTCAAATGATTTCTGGGTAAAAACTCTTTCACGAATAATTAGTTTCCCTTTTACCCTTATTTCTTAAAGCTCCCATCCCTCCATGGAAAGGAAAATTAATTGTTCAAGGTTGTGTGCTATGTGATATAACTCTTCAGTCCACTTATAGCACAGTTCCAGCACAGCTGTAAGTATTTTGTGTCTTTCCTTATGTTTGTGGGGTTTTTTTTTTTTTTTGGTCTGTTTTCCTCAATTCTGGAAATTGAACCTACATACTAAGCAAGTGTTCTACCATTGAACTGTTTCTTTAGCCCCTCATTTTTTTTTAAACTGGTATTTCAAGGTCTTGATGGGGGTTGAATTGAGATAAAGCAATTGTATGTACTAGTATGGCTGTATAGAGTAAAAGGCCATAATACAGGAGACCTAAAGTCTATCTATTAATGAGAACATGATTCTCAGGACAGTATGCATTCCCAAATATACACTTCTCTTTGGAAATGTCTCACTATGTAGCCTAGGCTGTTCTCAAACTTGTAGGCTCCAAGTATCTCCCACTTTGCCTGGCTAAATAAAATTATTTGGTACTAGAGTTTTGACTTTCCCACCAAACAGATCAAATTTGTTTACTTAGCAAATACAGCAGGTTATAGTTACTTAGTTCTCTTATGAGGCCTTATTAAGATTTACAGTATTTGCAGCTAGAACTGGTAGTGCATGGTTATAATCCCAGCAACTTTGGAGATAGAGGCAAGATGATTTCAAGCTTGACACCAGCAGAGACAAAGTTATTGAGTCCCTATCTCAAAAACAAACAAAAAGGCTGGAATCATAGCTCAAGTGGCAGAGTACATACTAGCCAAGTACAAGGCTTTGGGTTCAATCCCCACTACCACAACCACCTGGGAAGTAAACAGTTAAAAAAAAAAAAAGGCAAAACCTACTTGAAGGATAGAGTTAGCAAATAAAAGGTAGTCTACTAAATATATTGTGTAAAGTATTCCATAATCTTATCAGAACATAGAAAACAAGACTTGGAATGTAGTACATGAGGCCTTTGGTGTTTGGTCCCTGGCAACACAAAAATAAGTAGCAATGTCCAGTTTTCCAATTTTCACTTGATTCCTCTTGAAAATACTAAGTAAAATAATTATTAACATCTGTTTACATTATAATAGATTGTAATTATGAATAGTCTCCACTGGGATATTGTAAAGGACATCTTATGAAATCTTTTTGTCCAGGGACTGGGAAGGTGGCTCAGTGGTAGAGCACTTGCCTTGCATGCTCGAGGCCCTGGGTTCTATTCCTCAGCACCACATAAGTAAAAAGCCGGAAGTGGCGCTGTGGCTCAAGTGGTAGAGCGCTAGCCTTGAGCTGAAGAGCAGAGGGATAGCACCCAGGCCCAGAGTTGAGGCCCCACCACCGGACCCAAAAAAAAAAAATCTTTTTGTCCAACCTGTTCTTACTTTGTACTTGAAATAACTGAAAAGGTAGATATACAGATTCATTGATCATAAGTAAAAATGGGGATTCATTTTCTTTCTCTTGGCCTCTTTTCTTCTTTTTACCTTTCCTTTTCTTTTCATTTGTTGAGTGCTAGCCCTTTTTTTTCTTTGTTATTTTCAGATAGTTTTGTGTGTGTGGCTGCGTTGGCCTGGACCACAATCCTCTCTCTCATCTAGTACTTCACATAGCTAGGATAACAGGTGCATGCCAATGTGTCTAGGTTTGATGGAGACTGGAATTATGAATATACTATGAACTGCAGTCCTCCTGATCTCTACCTCCTGCGTAGTCTGTTGTGGGGCTATTTTGGTTTTGGTTTTTCTGTATGTTTTTTGAGGGCCAGTACCAGGGTCAGGGGCTCATGCGTGCTTGGCTGGCATTCTATAAGTTAAGCCATGTCTTTAGCCATGCTGGGCATTTTGCTAGTTATTTTGGAGATGGAGAATTACAGGCTTTTCTACCCAGGCTGGTTTCATAGCTCAATTCTCCAGATCCTCAGCCTCTTGAGCAGCTAGTATTATAGTTGTGAGGCATAACCACATGACTTTGTTGGACTTTTTAAAGAAACAGCAGCAGGAGCTAGGCATGGTGGCTCAAACCTGGTTAGCTAGTTGGGAATCAGAGATTGGGGATCATGGTTCAGTCCCAGCCAAGACAAAGTTTGAGAGACTCTTTGTCAACCAATAGCTAGGTATGGTGGTATGCCCCTGTCATTATCCCAACTTCAGGAGAGCACAATGGTTGGGTGCAGTGTCATTCCACCTATGTGAGGAAGCACAAGTAGGAGGATCGTAGTCCAGGCCATCCAGTTATAAAGGAAGACCCTATATAGAAAATGTGTAAATAATAAAGCAAAATCTTATGAGTACAATGAAAAAGAAGAAAAGATTCTTAGTACTGTAGAATGTTACTGCTAAGTTCAAAAATGGAATTATCAAGCCATAGAGAACTTCAGTACATTGCTTGATGATAATTGTTTTGTTTTTTTAGACCACGGGAACTACATTTTAAATATATAATGAAAGTGTCTTCTTTGAAAGAAAAACTACCAGAAGCTGCCTTTAGAAAACAGAATTACTTGGAACAGAAAGGTCTGTTGGAACATAGTGGCACATTGCATGTCTTGAGCTTGGTTTCAGTTCTATTCCTCTCTGTCTACTAAACACAGAAATAATAACTTGCAACTTTCAAGTGATTCTTAAAAGGGTCTTTTCAGAAAGTTCTTGAGTTGTCATGTTCTTTAGTTCTTTGGAAGCCAACTAGAAACTGTAAAGAAGTTTGATCTACGATAACAAAGACCAGTTTTAATATAGAATACTGAATTGAGCAAACTATTAGAAGTACTGGAAACTCACACCCTGAAAAAGAGCATGGTTTTAATTGTTTTTATTTATTTGTATACTTTTAAGTTCAAATGAAAAAAAATATGAGAGGAAAATTTAGGTCATTTACTTTAAGGAACATTAATTTTTTTTTGTATTTATTTGTTTTGTTAAACCTATAGAAGTCTCAATGCAAATGAGAACATTATTTTTAATTATTTCAGTAACTTTTTAAGTTTTATAATTTAGAACATTGTGATGAGAGTTTTTAAGCAGTGTTCCTAATTCTTTTCCTTTTGGTAACCTATAAAATGATTGACTTATAAGTAATTTTAGAAATAAGATCTGTTTTTCTGATTTTTCTACAGTTTGTTGCCAAGATTTGTGCTTTGATTTGTATGAGGTGGAACTTTCAAACAAACAAGGAGAAAACTTAGATAAGCTAACAGAATATATTAAAAATAAGCAATTGGTAAGAACCCTTCATTTTAAATACTATTTTTTTCTTAAACTGAGAAATTGATGTCTTAAGTTAGCTGAATTAGATGAGATTGCTGAAAGGATTTTTATTAATATTTATTGACAAACTGGATGCCGGTGGTTCACACCTGTAATCTAGCTACTCAGGAGGCTGAAGTCAGAGGGATGTCATTTGAAGCCAGCCTGGGAAGGAAAGTCTGTGAGATTTTATCTCCAATAAACTATTCATAAAAAGCTGGAAGTGGGGCTGGGAGATTGACTCAGTGGTAGAGTGCTTGCCTCTCATGCATGAGGCCCTGGGTTCTATTTCTCAGCACCTCATAAGCAGAAAAAAGCCAAAGTGGTGCTGTGGCTCAAGTGGTAGGGCACTACTAGCCTTGAGGTGAAGAGCTAAGGACAGCACCCAGGCCCAGAGTTCAGCCCCATGACCGACAAAAAAAAAAAAAGCTGGAAGTGGCACTGGGGCTAAAGTGGTAAAGTGCTAACCTTGAGCACAAAGAGGCTCAGGAACAGCAGCCAGGCCTCGAGTTCCAGCCCCAGGACTAGCCAAGAAAAAAAAAAAAGATAGATCTACGTATATCTTGACACATGGGCACAATTACGATCTTAACATTTTCCTCCCCTTGTATCTCAGTTTACTTTTGTATCTTGCTGATCTATTTACATTTCTAATTGTAAGAAATAGAAAGTTTTTCTCAAAATATTTTATTTTTTTTGACAGAATAATAGATGAGACCTCTAGTGCTTCTGCATTAAAGGGCCACTTATTAGACACTTATATTTCATTTTTTGTTAGCATGCATTAATTATACAAAGCTGGTCTAATTGTGAAATTTCCAGACATGTACTGATGTATCTCAATGAATCTTACCTCTTCTACCACTTACTCCTCTCTCCTTAAAACATTTTCATACAAGCAAACAAAACTTTGACCATGTGCATCTTCATCCATCTCCTTTACTATTCCAACTTCCTCTCACAGGTACTTCTTCCCAACTTGTAAGACCCTTCTTTAAAAGCACCTTAATCATTTCTATTACTATTATCCACAGGTTTGTAGGAGTTAATTTCTTCGCTTATTTTTGTAATGTAGAAAGTAAGACTGTTGCTGGTGCCTATAAATCCTAACTATTCAAGAGGCTGAGATCTAAGGGTCACTGTTCAAAGCTAGCTTGGGCAGAAAAGTCCCTGTAAGACTCTTAATCTTCAATTAACCACTCAAAAACCAGAAGTACAGCTGTGACTCAAAGTGGTAGAGCACTAGCCTTGAGCAAAAGAGCTCAGAGACAGTGCCCAGTTTCTGAGTTCAAACCCCACAATAGATTTAAAAAGAAGAAGAAGACAATAAGACTGCTGAGAAATATTTACTGTCTCAAGGAATTCCATAATTTTAGCCATGTATCTTTTATGAGAGATTGGATCCAGAGTATCATTCAGCTCTCATTGTGACTAATTCTTAAATCACAAAAGATATGACGCAAATACTGAACAGTGGGCCAGACAAGTCTAAGCCTTTTAATAACATGACTATTCTCATAACAGTAAGAAATTGATAAAGTAAAACAGACCATATGTAACTTTGGAAGGAATTCTGTCTGACTGATAGTACTCTGAGCTGGGTATGGTGATTCAAGTCTCTAATCTCAGCTACTCAGGAGGTGTAGATTGGGAGGGTGGAGGTTTGAGGCAGCCTGGGAAAGAAATTGGTGAGACCTTGTCTCACTTAACAAGCTAGGCATGATGGTACACTGGTGATGGTACACTTGTGATCCCAGCTATCGGGAGGCATAGACAGGAAGCTTGGAGGCTGGCACTGACAAATAATAATAGTATGCTTTGCAGTGCATGGTTCCAGTCCATCTTTAACACTGAGGGATTTAATAGGCTTATTATTTCATTCTAGATGGTAATCAGATTCAAGTGCTATATGTCCTTCCTTTAGCCCTCTATATAAGTTTTATTCTAAGACTACCAATCAGGGCCACATGTTTCATTTTCACATGGAAGGGAAGTAGTGAAGTACTACTTCAGTCACTTCAGGCCAATTTGTGTCATCTGCACATTCTTCAACTAGTAACTGGATCACAGAGATGAGCAGTGATACTTGAAAGCGTCTCTTAGAAGGTGTGAGGTCAGTTCCCCCCAGTTCCCAGCAGAGGGAAGAGGTACTTAAGAATCTTCTTTCATATGTTTGTTTTTTAATGTTTAAGGCAATTGTCAAGTGCTTAGAAGATAGAGGAGTTTTCATTTTACTTACATCATCAGCCTTAATACCAGCACCAGGTAAGGACCACTTTTCTGGGAGTGGAAAAAACTTCCTGTTTATTTTGTCTTATAAGATCAGCAACCTTAAGTTTTCTTCTCATTCTGTGTAGATTTTGAAGAGCAACAGATGGGTCTATACGGGTTACATTTATTCCATTCACCTCTGTCAACAGGTGAGTATACAGTGGTATCTCATTTTCAATGTGTTGCATAGTCTTAAATTCTAAACTGACTTGACTTTTCAGTAGTACATGACACCACTAACTGCTCTTTTCCCTCTTAAGTAGCTTATTTTTCTTCACCTTCTACCTGACCCTTCTTGGCTTCCTCTGCAGGTGTACCTTATCCTCTGAGCATTACACTCTCCAATATCTGTTCACATTTCTTCTGCCTTGATGTCTCTGAGGTGCCTCACATTAAGCATGTCTGAGTTTATCTGTTACTGAACAGGAGTACCTAGGAGATACTTTCACCTTCACCTGATGAGTAGTTTAGTGTGAGACTATGGTAACAGTAATCTTAGAGTCTTAATATGACTACTGTTCCCTGTCTGGACTGTTGGGTTTCATATTTGACTCATACATTCTCTGGATATTATTGACTCACAGAGAATCAAAACCTTTCTTTTAAAAAAGTGCCTAACAGGTAGGCAGTATGTAATATGAAGTTGTGATTTCACTATCACTTTTTATTCCAACTAGCATCCCTCGATTTACCAAAATAGCGTAAATACTTTTTTTTTTTTTTTGTCGGTTGTGGGGCTTGAACTCTGGGCCTGGGCGCTGTCCCTCAGCTCTTCAGCTCAAGGCGAGCGCTCTACCACTTGAGCTACAGCACCACTTCCGGTTTTCTGGTGGTTTATTGGAGATAGGAGTCTCACGGTCTCTCCTGCCCGGGCTGGCTTTGAACCATGATCCTCAGATCTCAGCCTCCTGAGTAGCAAGGATTACAGGCGTGAGCCACCAGCGCCCGGCCGTAAATACTTTTATGTAGCCCAATCCCTCCTTTTTTGAGTCAAGGGTTTATTAGTATATTGCTTAGGGTAGCCTCAGTATTACATCCTGCTTAAGCCTACTGAATGCTGAGGTTATAAGTGTTTACTACTACTCACCCTTCTTATATCTTTTATTTTTTGATAGTGGTGTTGGAGATCAAATCTAAGCCTCACACATTCCAAGTGCTACCACTAAGCTACATCCCCAGTACAATGCCTACTACCCTTCTACTGTATCCTTAGTCTACCTGTACCAAGCATATGAAAAATAAATACTTGCTGAACAAGTGATAAAAGGAAAGTGAATCATTTAGTTTTGCCACAGAAGGAAATTCTCATTGTTTTGAAGTCATATTGGATGCATTTAAAGAAAAAACTATTTAACATTTCTAAAGCTACAAAGAATACATAAAAGTTTTTAAGTTGATTTTTTTTTTCCTTAAATTATACTGTTACTCAAAAGACCTGTATATTCTTGGTAATTGTAACAAAGTATTATCAATTGCAGTACCAGAATGCCAAAGATTATTTACATTTATTAGATGCTAGGTATAATTGATTTAGTAGTCCTTAAAATACCCTTTTTTTTTTTTGTCAGTCGCAGGGCTTGAACTCTGGGCCTGGGCGCTGTCCCTCAGCTCTTCAGCTCAAGGCTAGCACTCTACCACTTGAGCCATAGCACCACTTCTGGCCTTTTCTGCTTATATGGGACTGAGGAATCTAACCCAGAGCCTCATGCATGCATGGCAAGCACTCTACTGCTGAGCCATCTTCCCAAGCCCTTTTTCCTACATTTTTAATTGTAAATTACCAGTCACAAAAAGAGCCATTCCTAACTGTATCCAGGACAAAAATTCTCTTTGAATAAATACTGGAGTGCTACTTTTTCATGTATTCCTCATTAAGACAGTTTGTACTTGGTCTACTAATTCTAACCTACCAGTTGCTTATCAGATCGTTCTTTTTCAATTTCTTTATGTGTATAACTTCAAGAATATGGAGATATTTTCTCATTAAATATATTACATATAGGTCTTATATAAGTTCTTAGTTACCACTTAGGTTTTCATTTGAAACACTGATATATTTAACCATTCCATAATTTTGAAATCCAAAGCTTTTTTCCCCTCTTTTGTTATAAACCAAAATGATATCATGTTTTTAATGTGTGTGTTTTAGGGGTGAAGGATTGGAATGTCGAAGATGACATGTCTTTGAAAGTGGTACCTATAATACCTGCCCTTAATTGTGCCCTACTAGAAGCAAAGAAATCACTTCCTGAAGAAAGAACCCATCCAAAAACATTGGTACAGAGCAATTTGCAAGCACTTTCCAGAGCAGACAATAGCCTTTCATTGACTGCTGTGCCTCATGATGGCGTGAAGGAGACTGTATCAGTTGGAAAACTGCCCGTGGATTTTGACTTGATCCCCCCTCCTGAAAAGTGCTCTGTAGAGTCTTTCATTCAGTTGAAGTCTTATATTTCAGATCCCAGTGGCTATTCTTTTGATGTGTCTACTGCTCAGGATTTGTTAGTAGAGCAACAACAGCCTCCTTGTATTTCAGATGGAATTTGCGATGCTGGATTTTCTTTAGTTATGACTCCAGATCCTGAATTTCTGGACCTAGAAGAAGAAGTACAAAAAGAAACTGAAACAGAAAATTCTGAAAATATATTGAACACAAAGAACAATGGAGTTATGGTTTCAGTGAATCCACTAGCATCAAATCTGAGAGTACAACCCAAGAGAAAGGCCAGCGTACCACTCGGGGTGCACAATAAAAGGATGAACTTATGCTACCCCTTTCCCAAAAGAGCTACATCTGAAACAGATCATGGTTCCCATTCTCCGACAACTCTTAAGTTAGTTAAAGGACAGTTTCCTCAGAAAAGAAAAAGAGGTAAGCATGTGGATTATTAAAATAATAACCACAGACTTCAAGTCCTGTTCCTATCTGGATTTCTTTGGACTGTAGCTTGGCAGCACGTTAGAAGCTGATTCAAAATTAGAAATTATTAGAAATGCCAACATTTTTCCTCATTTGATCTTTATATAACTACTGAAAGCAAGAAACTAAGATATGACAAAAGCCTTCCCACCAAAAGCTTATGTTATACTTGTAAAAAGCTATCATTCACATATACTTACATCCTATTCTAAGAAATAGTGCATAAATGGACATGTGCCACAGATTCATACATTTTGAAACAAAAAATAAAAAAGTGATGTAATCTGATAATTTGTTACAGTGAACAAAGAACTCTAGTCATGACCCATTGTTTATTAGTAACTATCAGTGGGTTATGACATGTAGTCTGAGAAACATGGCATTGAATAATAAAGAAAATACTGTCTTTTTTCTTTTTCTTTTTTTTTTTTGGGGGGGGGGGAATCCAGTCGTGGGCCTGAACTCTGGGCCTGGGCGCTGTCCCTCAGCTCTTCAGCTCAAGGCTAGCACTCTACCACTTGAGCCACAGTGCCACTTCCAGCTTTTTTCTTTTTGCTTATGTGGTGCTGAGGAATCAAACCCAGGGCCTCATGCATGCAAGGCAAGCACTCTACCACTGAGCCACCTTCCCAGCCCAATACTGTCTTTTTTCATTTTTTTTTTCTCCAGAACCTGTGAGAGATCTTTCCTTCCTATTTGTGCAAGAGTTAGATCATAGTTGTCCAACCTTAATTTCTTTCTCTTTTAAATTTATCCTCCACTATTTTTCTGCTACTTACTACCTGTGATGATTTAGTAAGAAGGAAAATAATTAGATCCCAGGACATGTACATTAAATTCTAAGAGCTTTCTTAGTGATATGAAATGGGTCTAGTTTTTTTTTTACATTTCATTAGTATTCATCATTGTTTATTATTTTGTTTTCATGCTTAAATGTTCTCAATCAGAAACAGTATTTTTTTGTATAATGTTACTTTAAAAATATTTGCCACCAAGCACAGGTTGCTCATACCTGTCTGTAATCGTAGCTATTCAGGAGGCCAAGATCTGAGGATTGCAGTTCAAAGCTAGCCTGGGCAGCAAAAGTACGTGAAATTCTTTATCTCCAATTAACCACCAAAAAATTGGAAGTGGCGCTGTGGCTCAAGTGGTAGAGCACTGAAGTCTTGAGCTGAAGAGCTGAGGGATAGTGCCCAGCCCCAGAGTTCAAGCCCCATGACCGACCATTGCTAAAATTCAGATATAGGATTATTTCATGTATTTTGGGACTGAATTTTGAGTGGAAGCAATTAAAATTACAAAAAGTTAATAGGAAATTTTGTCAAAGGTTGCATTGGCATGTTTTTAACTCTTAAAAGATTAACTGCATTGTTTAAGCAGGTGGTGTGTGTGTGTGTGTGTGTGTGTGTGTGTGTGTATGTGTATATGTGTGTGCTGCTACTGGAGCTTGAACTCAAGGCCTGGGTGCTGTTCTTGAGCTTTTTTGCTCAAGTGCTCTATCACTTGAGCCACAGCTCCACTTTTAGCTCTTTTGGTGGTTAATTGGGGTAAGAATCTCACAGACTTTGCTACCCAGGCTGGCTTGGTATAATGATCCTCAGATCTCAGCCTCCTGAGTAGCTAGGATTACAGGCATGAGTCACAGGTGACTGGCTAGCCAGTAGTATTTTTACATCTCCACTTTCCCCTTTAGCTATTTTCTTAGTTGCATATGAGAAGAAAAGCACATAATTTTGTAAAGACTAGTTTTTTTTTCTCAAGATATGTTTACTAAGTGCAGACTTTTTTCAGTCTTCACCTGTCTTAAATGTTTAGTTTCTCAGATATCACTAAAATTTAGATGTATACAAATAGTAACATAATGTGACTCTTTAGAAATATATAGTCTTCTGTATAAAATGTGTTTACAGATTTAACCGCATCACCTTATGTGTGTTGCTTTTACAAACATAATTAATGTTCTACTTTCAGAGCTGTAAATTAGTACAGTGTTACTTCAACATCACTCAGTAAAAGTTTTAATATTAAGTTGTATCTTGTTTAATGAACTTAATACTGTGATAACTTTTCTTCACCTAGTAAGATAGATTTAGTAAGTAGTAGCAAGTTCCTATCTTTTTTTTTCCAAATTCTTTATAGTGATTAAGTGAATACATAATTTCCCAAATTTCACAGTATTGTGGGATACTGATGCTTAGTTAAAGTCACAAACACATTCTAACTTTCATGGGGCAAATTGTCTATCGTGGTCTGTACATTTATGAGTTCTGTGAGGTTTGCAATACAGTTATTTCTTCCACATTGAGTGATATGTGCATTCCTTTTGTTTTGCATAGCATCAGCGCTCTCTTTTCCACTCGTTCCCTCCCTCCTGTCACTGCCATTGAGTTGCTTAGTTCATTTTGATCAATGTCCAGTACCGCTGATTAGTCCTACTGTTGTATGTTTTTCCCTATTCCCTCTAGTTCTGTGTCATCATCCTGGTTTCCCTCCTGTGTGCACATATATACCATTTGTGTGATCAGCAACATGGGGTTATTTAGTAGTGATTTGACCAGATGAGTAGGAGTTTTTTGGGTTTTTTTGTTGTTGTTGTTTTTGGGTCCGGTCGTGGGGCCTGAACTCTGGGCCTGGGCGCTGTCCCTCAGCTCTTCAGCTCAAGGCTAGCACTCTACAACTTGAGCCACAGCGCCACTTCCAGCTTTTTTCTTTTTGCTTATGTGGTGCTGAGGAATCGAACCCAGGGCCTCATGCATGCAAGGCAAGCGCTCTACCACTGAGCCACCTTCCCAGCCCGAGTGGGAGTCTTTTGTTTCTTTAAGTCTTGTTAATTTTGTCATATCACCTTACATTTTGGATTTTATATCCACTTATCAGGGAGATCATGTGCTGTTTGTTTCTGCTCTTGGCTCAACATGATTTCTTCCATCCATTTCTCTGCAAATGCCATTATTTTGCCTTTTCTAATGACTGCATAATATTCCATTGTTTATAGATACCACAGGTTTTGGATCCATTCATCTGTGGTGGGACATTTGGGTTGTTTCCATATCCTGGCTATTGTGAACAGTGCTGCAATAAACATGGAGGTGCATGTGTTCTTGCATACTGGTTCCTGTTGTTCAGGATAGATGCCTAGAAGTGGTATTACTAGGTCATAAGGAAGGTCAATATTTAGCTTTCTGAGGACCCTCCAGACTGCTTTCCAAAGTGGTTGTATAAATGTACATTCCCACCAGCAGTGTAATAGGGTTCCTTTTTCTCCACATCCCCTCCAGCGTTTGTCTTGGCTGACTTTAGGATGTGGGCCATTCTGACTGGGGTAAGGTGGTATCTCAGGGTTGCAAGTTCCTATCTTTATGTGAGAATTAAAACCCTACCTTATTTTTTAAAAAGTTCTTTTAGAACTGGGTGCCGATGGCTCATGCTTGTAATCCTAGCTACTCAGAAGGCTGAGATCTGAGGATCACAGTTCAAAGTCAGTCTGGGCAGGAAACTCGTTGAGACTCTTATCTCCAATAAACCACTTAGAAAACCGGAAATGGTGCTGTGGCTCAAGTGGTAGGGCACTTGCCTTGAGCTGAAGAGCTGAGGGACAGCGCTCAGGCCCAGAGTTCAAGCCTCAATTGACCCCCCCCCAAAAAAAAAAGTTCTTGTAGAAGTAGCTAAAACTTTATAGTTTTCCCCCAAACAAAAGAAGTACAGAAAAAAGGTAGGCTGATAAACATCTGGGCTCATCTTCCTTAAAAAATGGTCTCTTTTACATAAGGTGCGGAAGTGCTGACTGCACAGTTTGTACAGAAAACCAAATTGGATGAGAAAACCCAAGAAGGTTCTATTATTTGTAAAGATATCCCGGTGGCAACAAAAGTTAAAAGGGCAAAGAAGCAAGAGAAATCTCCAGTCAAAACTAAGCCACATGTGAAGAAATCTCCACAGAAACAGAGGGTAAATATAGTAAAAGGCAAAAGGAATTCCACAATCAGAAAGCAGCCACAACCTGGTAAGCAACACTTCCTGAAAACGCAAATACTACATGCAGATCTAGTGGGTATTAAAAGATAATATTGAAGGGCTGGGAATGTGGCTTAGTGGTAACGTGCTTGTTTAGCATATACAAAGCTCTGGGTTTGATTCCTCAGGACCACATAGACAGAAAATGCCAGAAGTGGCGCTGTGGCTCAAGTGGTAGAATGCTAGCCTTGAGCAAATGAAGCTCAGGGATAGTGCCTGGGCTCTGAGTTCAAGCCCAGGACTGGCAAAAAATAATAATAATAAAAGATAATATTGAAATATGTAAGAGTAGTTTAAAATTTATCATTGTATATTTAGTTCTGGCTATAAATAGCTAACTTGATTTCTTACTATAGATAACTTGGTTTCTTACTATAGATAAATTAGAGAAGATTCAAGCCATCAAACAAAGTAGACTGTATAATTTGCATAGAGTCTGAACATGAATCTTTTTTTTTTTTTTTTTTGGTTGGTTGTGGGGCCTGAACTCTGGGCCTGGGTGCTGTCCCTCAGCTCTTCAGCTCAAGGCTAGCGCTCTACCACTTGAGCCACAGTGCCACATCCAGCCTTTTCTGCTTCTGTGGTGTTGAGGAATGGAACCCAGGGCCGCATGCATGCATGGCAAGCACTCTACCACTGAGCCACCTTCCCAGCCCTGAACATGAATCTTTACAAGATAAAAAAAGTATAATAGCCTTATTTATACTTAAATGCACATGCAAATACCTGGCAGATTTGTCTGCTCTGTAGTCATTTATAAAGGTAAAGACTTGTTTGTTTATAGAGGACTATAAGTAGAGTGCTGTTAGGAATCCAGCATGGTTGAAGTGGTAGACTGCCTGCACAGCAAGCATGAGGACCCCAGTACCTTTACAAAGCAAACAAGCATAAAGCGGTCAGTAATCTAGAATCTTATATATTGATTTAATTGATTTGATTTGAATGGTGGTTTTGTGACTATTTCCTACTGTTAAACAACTTTGTTATTAGAAATTCTTGTGTTACCTCAGACTTCACCTCTATGCAACTGAACATATACCACCAAGTCTACTCTTGGGTCTGTTTCTTTTCTGTGTATAGTGCAGTCCTTCCAGACTGTGACATCTATAATATGACATTTCATCTTTTGTATTGATTCCTAACAGAGAGACTTCATTCCCTTTTATCTTTATATTATTTGTTTGGGGTTTTTGGTTTTGGTTTTGGTTTTTTTTGTTAGTCCTGGATCTTGAACTCAGGGCTTGGGCACTGTTCCTGAGCTGCTTTTTGCTAGGTTAGCACTCTACTACTGGAACCACAGACCTACTTCTGGCTTTTTCTGTTAATGTGGTACTGAGGAATTGAACCCAGCTTCATGAATGCTAGGCCCCACTCCTAGCCCCTATCTTTTTTTTTGGGGGGGGGGTCCAGTCATGGGGCCTGAACTCTGGGCCTGGGTGCTGTCCCTCAGCTCTTCAGCTCAAGGCTAGCACTCTACCTCTTGAGCCACAGTGCCACTTCTGGCTTTTTTCTTTTTTTTGCTTATGTGGTGCTGAGGAATCCAACCCAGGGCCTCAGGCATGCAAGGCAAGTGCTCCACCACTGAGCCACCTTCCCAGCCCCTCCTAGCCCCTATCTTTATATTATTATTCATTTTCTTTTTGATTTCCTTGGTGCTACTTTATCCCTCATCATCTACTTGATTCTTATATATCACATAGATCAGGAGTGGAGAACATCCATCATCTGGGCCTTTATAAGGGCCACAAAAAAACTATTTCATCTGGCTTTGCCAAGATAAGTATAGGCAAGACTCAAAATCCAATAAATCTAGGCCCCCAAATGATGTTACAAATATCCAAATGGCTCTTAATAGTACAGTGATATTTTCCACTCCTGATAGATGGTGGGGAATTTAAGACAGTTATTTTGTTGGTGGAATTAGTGATGAGCTTGGGAGTTTTAAGTTCCTGTAGTGTTATTTTATGACTGGAGACTTTTTCATAGCTCATCATGTTCTAAAACCTGAAGTGATAAATTGGGGCATGGCTGAGGTGGTAGAGTGCCTGTAGACCTCTAAGTGCAAGGATTAGAGTTCAATCCTGAATACTGCCAAGAAAAAAGAGGCAGGGGAAGGTGTAGTAACATAGTTTGGGTTCTGTGGAAAATTTGAACTTTTGTGATTGTTTTTGAAGGATGCATGATACAGTCTTACCCTACATGACCATATGACCATATTTATTTAGTTCCTGCTGTTCCCTGACTTACTACTTCCCTTTTGGCTAACTTGTATTTTTCTTAAGCTCACTGTTTTTTTTCTTGTGCAATTTCCCTTACACATCTAAGTTCTAGTTCTACAAAAGGTATATCCTTAGTCTAAGGATATTATTAATCTTCCATTTCCACCTGTTTTTTTTAAAGCACATAATTAATAGTAGTTTCTAATAATTTGATATTTCTTGGTGTTCCATCTTTCAAATTAGTTTGTAAACATTATGAGATTGGCTTTTATAAACTAATTGGTTGACAGCATTCATTTGGGTTTATACAGAAAAGCACAGAAAATTAAGTTTTCAAAATATGTTTAAAACTAGACAAATTTGTGCTGCATTTATGGCCATATAAACCATTAAAATTTTAAGGTTACAGCTGCGTACTGGTGGCTCACGCTTGTAATCCTAACTACTCAGGAGGCTGATCTGAGGATCATGATTGGAAGCTAGCCCATGCAGGAAAGTCTGTGAGACTTTTATCTCCAATTAACCTCCCCAAAACCAGAAAATGGGTCTGTGGCTCAAAATGGTTGAGCGCTAGCCTTGAGCAGAAAGAGCTCAAAGACAGCCCCAGGCCCTATGTTGGAACCCCATGACCAACAAAAAGAAAAAAGAAAAAAAATTCAGGGTTACTAATTTTAAAATCTGATTCTTTATTAATTACCTATACTGGTCTGTTTCTTACACTTGAAATGTTAAGACTAAGATGGCAGATGGAACATGACTATGTTGGATTCATTTTGAAAATTGTTCATCTTAATTACTTTAAGTTGCAATTAGCAGAATCAAATGAGAATTTCTAAGTCATCAAAACAAATTTTTAATGAACAAATAATCTATCCTTTTCAAAGTTTGTGATACAGTTTTTCACTAATTTCATTTATATAATTTGGCATTGTCTTGTCTCTGTCTTAAATAGAGGTAGATTGTGTTATTTTTTAATTGAGAGCCTACAAATAAGTCTGTAATTGTTTTATGAGAGACTATACATACTAAAGTGTACCATTTTTTGTGTTAAGTACAGTATAACAGTATTCTTTAGAGTAGGCTTAACAAATAAGAGATAAGTATATGGAAGTCATAAGGTTAACAATGATGGAATGAAGCTAATGTCAATAAACACATTTCCAACATGCCTGTGTGCTAAGACAGTTATTTTCTTTGGGCCCCTTTCCTCTACATTGCCCCTTTAGGATATCCTATTTAAAATAACTGTATAGTGTTAGATTTAATATTACCCACCCTAATCCTTCTCATCCTAACTGATGACATCTTTATTAGTTACTTGCCTTTTCAGACAGGTTATCAATTCATTTTAGACCTACTTTGGTTATTATAAAGAGAAATCCAGTTGGTATTTTCCTTATGTCCACTTACCTACAACAGGGATTCATTGCCTAGCATCTCTGTTAACTTTATCCTTCATAATAACATTTCAGCCGGGCTCCAGTAGCTCATGCCTGTAATCCTAGCTACTCAGGAGGCTGAGATCTGAGGATCACAGTTCAAAGCCAGCCCGGGCAGGAAAGTCGGAGAAACCCTTATCTCCAACAAACCACTCAAAAACCAGAAGTGGCGCTGTGGCTCAAGCAGTAGGGTGTTCGCCTTGAGCTGAAGAGTGCAGGGACAACGCCCAAGCCCAGAGTTCAAGCCCCATGGTCGGCAAAAATAACATTTAAGACTTTTGTTATTCTGAGAAAATCCATGAAAACTATTGGAGAATATAAATATTTAAGGGGCAAATGTTTAAGTCTTGATTATATACAGAAATCAATAGTTGGGCTGGGAAGTTGGCTCGGTGGTAGAATGCTTGCCCCACATGCATGAGGCCTGGGTTTGATTCCTCAGCACCACATAAGCAGAAAAAAGCCTGAAGTGGTGCTGTGTCTTAATGGCAGGGTGCTAGCCTGGAGCTGAAGAGCTAAGGGACAGTGCCCAGGCCCAGAGTTCAGTCGCCGTGACCAACCAAAAACAAAAAAAGAAAGAAAATCAATAGTTCTGCTCTCATGGATAAAGCAAAGGGGTAATATTTTCATAGAAGAGAGTAAAGTTTGAAATGATGACTATTTGAAAAAGATGAGCTCATTTATGATTCTAACTCATTACATTATATTGTTTAAAATCAGTGTAAGCTAGGCACTGGTAGCTCATGCCTGTAATCTTAGCTACTCAGAAGCTCAGACTTAGAAGATTGTAGTTTGAGGCAGTTCTGGCAGAAAAGTCCATCAGAATCCATCTTCAGAATAACTAGCATAAAGCTGGACTAGAGATATAACTCAGGGCATAGAGGGTCAGCCCAGCAAACAAGCCAAACAAGAGCAGGCACTGTATGGGGAAAGAAAAAATGAGCAGGCACTAGTATGAGCAATAAAACAAAAAACAATATAGTTTTTTAAAAATCTGTTTTGGACTTTGGATACTTTTCTAATATATCACTTATTAAGGGAAATGGCTCCTGAGATGCTGTTCTAAAAAACTGGAGTACACAGTTCAAACTAATACTATTTTTTTGTGTGAGTGTGCCAGTCCTGGTGCTTGAACTTGGGGCCTGGGCTTTGTTTAAAGCTAGCACTCCACCACTTCAGCTACAGCTGAAGCTATAACCAGGTTTTTGGCTGGTATTGGAGTTAAATTCTCATCAACTTGCTTGCTCGGGCTGTCAGCCTTCTGAGTAGCTAGGATTACAGGTGTGTGCCACCAACACCCAGTAAAACTATTATATTCTCCTGTCTCTCCCCCACCTTCCCCCCCAGATTGTAAACTCACTGAGAGCAGGACTCTCCTTTTTTCTTTTCCCCTTATTATATGATTCTTGAACTGAGTAGTATATGTTGTTTTTTTTTCTTACTCCTGTTATCACTATCCTTCATCTTCTACAACATATCACAAATCAGATTTCATTATTGCAGTATGTCTTGTGTGTGGTTCAGTACATGCATTTTTGAATGGTATTTTTTAATGTATAAATTCATTAGGATTTGTCTCTGAGTCAATACATTATAGACCTCACGATTGGAAAGGATCTCAGTCTGGTGGCAAAATTTCAATATGCAGTTTCTAGGTTTTTCTTACATATATATATATATATATATATATATATATATATATATGTGTGTTCATGTAAATCATTGATTTTCACTAAGACATGGTATTGACAGAAACTTGATTCTGTGGAAAGCCAATGTTATATTTATGTTTTTTTTTATTTTATTCTGAAGCCAAAAGAGAAACCACTTTACAGCTTCAATCAGAAATTTCATCAGATGGTCAAAAAGATGGAATTAGCATAAATACAGCGCAACCAGAATGTACTTCCAATGCTCCAAAAGATCTTCCTCAAAACTCCTCTATCATCTGTGACTCCCAGGCCCTAAATATGTTAGCTGACCTAGCTTTAAGCTCTGCTGCCTCTTCTGTACCATTATGTGATCCTAGAAACCTCTCCTCCACTGAATTGCTACAAAATGATGTTTTACTCTCTAAAGAAAATTTATTATGTTGTACTTCTGACCATGAATATCATAGGGGAGTTAAAAGTCAAAAAGGTGTACTACTACCTAAACCATCCTCAGATAGAAAGGACAATTCTGAGTCAGACATAACTGTTAACCAAGAAGAGAACTTGGTTGCTGGTAGTCAGGCCCCTGCCAAAGCCCAGTCAGCACTCCCTGAAGAAGCTCTACCATCTTCAGCTACAAGTCAAAACCTAAATGCTTTTGTTGCTGTGGAACATTCATATGCCCTGCTCCTTCCAGAACATTCAAAGAAACATTTATACCAGAGAGGTTTACCAGGCCCTACTTTTACCAAGAATGGGACAAAAGGCCCTGAGACTGGAACTCCAGTAGGAAAAGTCATACCATTTCGGCATCTACAGAACACTTCCCCTCTACAGAAGTTTTCTGAGGACTCATTGATTAAGCGCAAAAGTCGATTTGTAACTTCTAACCTGAAAGAGTTCTGTTCTCATACTGTGCTTAACTGTGATGGCTCCTTGAAGATCACTTTCATATGTGAAACAGAATACAAATTTAGTTTAGATAGTAAATATACCAACAACCCAATGGAAAAAACTATTTTAAGAGCATTACATGGGTAAGTAGGAGTGAACTCAGTGAAAATGACTATGACTTTTCTGTTAAGATAAATATTGTCAGATGGGAAACCTGTGCTAAACTTTGGTGAAAGAGAAAAGAAGCTGTTGTAAGAAAAACTTGTAATTGATGGTTATACCGAAAAGTAGTATTGAAGGTGTACTGAAAGTTCACTTTACCGAAGAGTAATAGGAAGTCAGTGGTCATGTATGTGGAAAGCTTTTAATGTTACAAATGGGCTTTTTTTTTAATGGCTTTCCATTTTGCAGTATTTATTTGCCAGTACTGGTGATCTTAATGTAATACTTTGAGATACAAAAATAATGCTCTACAAACTGAGTTCCAGAGGAAACATTTAAAAATGACTTCTAGCCAGGTGCCGGTGGCTCACGCCTGTAATCCTAGCTACTCAGGAGGCTGAGATCTGAGGATCACGGCTCTAAGCCAGCCCAGGCAGGAACGTCTGTGAGACTCTGGTCTCCAATAAGCCACCAGAAAACCAGAAGTGGCTCAAGTGGTAGAGTGCTTGCCTTGAGCTGAAAAGCATAGGGAAAGCGCCTAGGCCCAGAGTTCAAGCCCCACTACCAACCAGAAAAAAAACAAAAAAACTTCTAAGCCGGGCACCGATGGCAGGAAACTGTGAGACTCTTATCTCCAATAAAGTGTGCTGTAGCCCAAAGTGGTAGAGTGCTAGCCTTGAGCAGAAAAAGCTCAGGGACAGCACCCAGGTCCAGTGTTCAAGCCCCAGCACTGGCAAATATTAAAATTTAAAAAAAAAGACTTCTGGCTTGTTCAAGTATTCAGATTGGTAGAAGTCATGAGTAAATGGTTCTATAAATAAGAAGAAAGCAAGAGCCCGTGGGTCACACTTGTAATCCTAACTACTTGGGAGGATGAGATCAGAAGGATCACAGTTTTAGGCCAGCCTGGCTGGGCAAAAACTTCTGAGAGACTTCATCTCTTTAGCAGAAAGCTGGACACAATGGTACATCCATGATCCTAGCAACTACAGGAAGTCTAGGTAGGTGAACATAAGCTGAGCTATACACCTAGGCACCTAAAACAACCCAAGAAAAACGGCGACAGGGTGTAGCTCTACCAAGTTAAAGGCCCTAAGTTTGAAACTCTAGTACCTCCTGCTATAAAAGTAAAAGGAGAGGGGCAATAATAGGGTTGTTAATAGCACAGCACCACAGGCATTGGATTTAAAACTAACCTAGGTTTGCATCTAGGCCTTCCCAGCTCTTTTATCTTGTGGCCAGGGTCACAGGCTTATCAGACTTCATTGTGCAGCTCATTTAGGGATCTTACTGAGCAGCAGGTACCATCTATGGTAAGGTGGGTCTGATAGTCTATATTAGTAACAAATTTCCAGGTGATGTAAATGGAGAATGACTGTTTGAGTAACATTGTGTGTATGTGCATACACACCAGTACTGGGACTTGAATTGAGGACCTGGGTGCTATTTCTTAGCTTTTTCACTCAAGGCTGGCACTCTACCATTTGAACCACAGCTTCACTTTTTGGTCATTGATTAGAGATAAGAGTCTCATGGAGTTTCCTGTTCAGACTGTCTTTGAACTTCATCCTCAGGTCTCAGCCTCCTGAGTAGCTAGGTATGAGCCACTGGGACTTGGCAAGGTAGCACTTTTTTTTTTTTTTAAGTATGGGTTTAGCAGTAGTTAAAGCTTGAGGTTATTAATATATTACTTTTTTTTTAAAGTGACTTTAGACGTTTCTTTGGGGTAGGCATCACTGGTGGCACAGAGTCAGGAAGAAAGGATGGCTAGCTGTTACATGGAATGCCACTATCTTTGCATGGTTTCAGGATATCCAGACATGTAATCTGAAAAAGCATTGTTGTACTTAATTGCCCAGAATTATATTGGTATTACACCCACATAAAACAGGTATGCCGTCTTCAAGGAAAGTTGGTATAAAAGCCAAGTGCCAGACCAAGAGTCAGGAGATCCCTCATCAGATCATAGTTCTGTCATATAAATTTTTGTGGTTTGGAAAAAGTTACTTAAACTGGAGAGATGTGGCTCAGAAGTAAGACATCTTGCCCAGTAAGTGTGAGGCCCTGAGTTCACATCCCAGAACTACCCAAAAAACAGAACAACAACAAAAAGAACTCACTTAAATGTTGTGGTTTTTTGTTTCCTTCTCATTAAAATTAGTGGGTTAGACTTAATAATATTTGTTAAATTAACTACATAGTATTCATTGCTTCATATCTGTAAATTTTGGGGGGAGCAGGGGGGTTGGTCGTGAGCCTTGAACTCTGGGCCTGGGTGCTGTCCCTGCGCTCTTCAGCTCAAGGCAAGCGCTCTACCGCTTGAGCCACAGTGTCACTTCTGGTTTTCTACTGTTTTATTGGAGATAAGAGTCTCATGGACTTTCCTGCCTGGACTGGCTTTGAACCGCAATCCTCTGATCTCAGCCTTCTGAGTAGCTAGTATTACAGGTGGGAGCCACCGGCACCTGTAATTTTAAAAATAAAAATGAGCACAAAACTTATGGTTAGTGTTGGGGCATTTTTTATAAGATTTAAAATATTTGAATTGTTTTTGTGTTTTTTCTAAAATTATAGACCCTGGAACTCTAATGTACCCGAAAATGTGGAAGACGTGAAGCTTTTACTTCACATGTGGGTCGCTCTGTTTTACAGCAGTCAAAACAAAATCATACCATCCTCCCGAAAAGTTGTGGAACACAGTAATCCAGCAAAATATGTGTCTATAAATAGCACTTTAGAATCTTTTGAACTCAGTGAAATGGAGGAGACCTCCAATGTAGAAAAATACTCTCTCGACCCTCTGTTGGAGAATAAAGAAACACCTAGAAGTCATGCTAAAGTATCCTTCCCTACCTCTAACAACGTGCTTCCATTCATTAAATCACCACCTATGAGACATTTGGGATTCTGTGTACAGAATGAAGAGAAAGAAGCATTTGCAAGAGAGCCTCATTTGGGTACCTCTGTGAGCCACAATTCTGTCTGTTCTTGTAATAATGAGGTAAGACTAAGTTTGTAAATGCTGCCATTATTTTGAAGACATGTTAAAATTACATTTGAAACAGTATTATTTGGAGAAAATGTGTTCTTCACATGAGTTAAATGATGTGGGAGCCCACCATGATCATGCACTTATTGTTACAATTTAGAGCAAATTGCTTGTTCTATGTGGGTTTTTTTGTTGTTGTTCTTAATAGGTGACAGTACTTGTCATGTCTTACCAAGGTATTATTTAAGGACCAAATATGTTTATAGTAAATACTAGAAATGCTGGGGTTGGAGCCATGGCTCAGTTGGTAAAGCATTAACCAGTGAATGAGAACATCGGGTACTGAGTTTGAAGTCCCTGTCTCAGACCAAAAAAACAAAACTTTGATAAACCTTGACCTGATTATATCTGAGTTAATTTTGGAGGTCACTATTTTCAAGTGTGGAAGACACTTGGCTTTATTCCATTGTTTTTAACTGATGTTCAGCTAGGCTAGATAATTCAACTTTTAACTGGAACAGATCAGAAGTTTGTAACAACATTCTAAGGAAATAGATTGATAAAACATCTTCCCTTTTAAGTTTATAGTCCAGATTTAGTGTAGATTAGTTTTTCTTTTTCTTTTTTTGGATTTGGAATATATTATTCTACATATATATGCATATAATATATATATATAGGGGGGGGCTGAGATTGTTCTCAAACTCTTGATTTGACATTTTTGCTCAGTTGTCTAGACTATTTTTTCAAGAGTTTAGACAGCACCTGTAATAATGCTTTAACATTAGGGAATGGTGAAAAACTTTATATCAGCAACATCATTATTGTGAGGGTTTCTGGAGCATTGTGTTCCGTTTAGTGATTTCTCAGATAAACCAGTGATAAGCCATTTTATAGATGAGAAAAATAAGGCATAAAAATTACTCAGGAAGTAATTCCCTAAAGTCACATAGTAAATTGCTACGTCAAGGTTCAAATCTAGACAACCTAGATCACTGTCAGATTTTGTTTCATGTGCATCCTTACATGCATATTTAAGATGTGTACATCTTAAAATATTTCATGTAATGTGTGGCTTTTTTTTGAAGGTATTTATGTGATTCTCAGCAGATACAGAATACCCAATTAAGAACTACTGCCTTAGAATAAAAAAATATGTATGGGGGCTGGGAAGGTGGCTCAGTGGTAGAGCGCTTGCCTTGCATGCCTGAGGCCCTGGGTTCAGTTCCTCAGCACCACATAAGCAAAAAGAAAAAAGCTGGAAGTGGTGCTGTGGCTCAAGTGGTAGTGGGCTAGCCTTGAGCTGAAGGGTTGAGGGAAAGCGCCCAGGCCCAGAGTTCAGGCCCCATGACCAGACCCCCCCCCAAAAAAAATATGTATGGTGTCATTAAGCAGATTTTAATTACTACTATTTGCATGCCAATTTCTTATAAAGTATCTTTTTGTTAATGTATAATTAACTACCACCAGTATTAATTTTAGGAATGACTTGGCAAATATGAAGTAGAGTGTACATAAATATATATAGTAGCATATTAAAATGAATAATTATTAACAGTCTTTCCAATATATATGAGTTAAATATTCCACATCCAAAATGTTTAAGACTAGAAGTGATTCAGAATTGAGAGTATTTATGATTTTGGAATATTTGTATATACTTTATATACATCCCTAACCTAAAAAGGCTATATCCAAAATGATCCAAAATCCTAAACTTAAGTGTTAAATGAGTGTTTAAAAAGCTTTTGGTTTGGGCTAGGAAGGTGGTTCAGTGGTAGAGCGCTTGCCTTGCATGCATGAGGCCCTGGGTTCGATTCCTTAGCACCACATAAGCAAAAAAAAGAAAAGAGCCGGAAGTGGCGCTGTAGCTCAAGTGGTAGAGCGCTAACCTTGAGCTGAAGAGCTGAGGGACAGCGCCTAGGCCCAGAGTTCAGGCCCCACGACCAACCCCCCCCTCCCAAAAAAAAAAAAGCTTTGGGTTTTGGATGCTTGTATTATGGGTACTGACTGTATTTCAAAGCTGTTCCTGGCATCTTGTTGGATACTGTACCAGTCCTTGTGGGCATATAGTGGAATGCAAAGAATATTTTAGCACAGCAGGCACTAGTTTGTCATGTATTTGAAAAGTTCTTTTTAAATGATCAGAAACATAACTCTTTACCTGTATCTAAGAACATATATCTGAATATAAATATGTCAAAATGCCACAGTTGGCATTTCATTCAGACCACAGACATGAGATAAAGGAATGTGGCCACATGTTACCTTATGTAGTGTGATACAGAGAAGGCTACCCAGAAGTTCTTAATACTCTTGCTACCAAGACTTTACATATGCTTTGTTCCTTTAAAACTGAAATTTAAAACTGACATCTGACATCTCAGCCTGTCCTGCTGAAGTCATGCTTCAATGTCCTTGAGTTAAGTGTCTCATTTGGTTGAAGCTGAATTTTTTTATTAGTTTACATTGATTATAGTATGTATGGTGGGGGAAGTTTCACTATTACATTTCCACATGTTTACAGTTTTATTTCAATCAGTGTTACTCTATCACTTCTTTTCCCCTTACCTCCCATACCAAAAATGCTTTTATTTTTTATTTTGTGCTGGGCCTGGGTCTTGAACTCTGGGCCTGGGCATGTCCCAGGCTAGCCTACGACTAGCACTCTACCACCTGAACCTTAGATCTACTTCCAAATTTTTGGTAGTCAACTGAAGATAAGAGCCTCACCAACTTTCCTGCCTAGCCAGCTTTGAACTGCATTCCTCAGATTTTAGCTTCCTGATTAGCTAGGATTACAGGCATGAGCCACTGGCCCTGGGCTTCCTGGGATACTAAGATTTCAAGATTCAAGCAAACTAAAATTACTTGCTTTCTCTGTTCACACATAATTTTATTTTATTTATTTTTTGCAAGTCCTGGGCTTGAACTCAGGGCCTGTGCATTGTCCCTGACCTTCTTTTGCTCAAGGCTAGCACTCTACCACTTGAGCCACAGGGCCACTTCTGACCTTTTCTGTTTATGAGGTACTGAGGAATCAAACCTAGTTCTTCATGCATGCTAGGCAAGCATGTGAACCCTGTTCACATGTGATTTTAAAAGATTGTATTTGACTACTGTTATTGTTAATGTCATTAATAGCATTTGTTTTATTTTTGTCATTTCAGCTAACTGGAGAAAAAGCCGAAGAATTATCAGATAAACTAGAGACTTCTAATCTTGTGCTTTCTGGTACTATAAGTAAACAAACTAATGGACCTTCTATTTCTGGTGAAGATAAAACCTTTCAGTCACTTGAGAACACAGGATTGGCTTCTTATAATGACACTATCATACAAGCCACATTGACCACGACTAGTGATGGGTCCAGCAGTCAGGCAGTGACGTGTCAGAAGTCTTTGTACAGCATCCTGAAAAGCAAAGGTGATCCTTTTCCTACAACAGTGCAGACGGACACATGTGCTATACCTGACCTTACCCAGCATAGCAACCTCATAAGCAGTGAATGTCAGCCCTCTCTGCAAAAGGTAAATGATAAGAATATGGAGTGTGTGATGATTAATGTGGAACCACTTACTCTCACTTTTGAAAAAAATACCTATGAGCAAATACATACAGATGTAAATATAACCAACAAATCTCCAACCTTTAATACTGAGTTGATTAAGCAAATATCACCTACTGTGAGTGTTAAGCATCCTATAATTTCATTGGAAAAGGCACAAACACAAGGTCTCCAGGAGATTCCATCTCTAGCACCAACTAGACAGGAAGACACTAAGTACCACTCTGTCTCCTCAGTAAGTGAAGAGATGATTGCTGAAGAACTGTCTTTCATTCAGAAAGAGATTGCTCCTCCAATATCATCACCACCTACTGAGAAACCGATGCTATCATTAGTTGAAAGTTCAGGTTATCCAGTTGCCAATGAAGACATTAATCACTCTGAAGATGTCTTTGTGAAGACGCCAAGTCTCTTTAGCATATCTTCAGAAGAGATTATAGAGCCATCACAAGTTGAAGTAGCCTCACCATCTGCTTCAGCTGCCCTAGGAAATGATTCCCTTAACTGTATCCCACCAAAAAGTACTATGTTAGATGGGTCTTTAGAACTGAGGAATGATGACAAAGGCAGCCTCAACCATGAAAATATGAATTTGGAATCATTAAATTCAGTGTATGACCAGCAAAGTAGTGTATTTATGAATAAGGAGGAGGTTAGCGCAGAATTGTCAGAGGAGGAATCTGATATTGACCTGACTCTAACAATATCACCACCTACAAGTCCCAGAGAAGAAATCCCAGCTGGCAGAGTAGAAGAACTACAGGAGTTACAACTTGAGGGTAGAGCTAAACAAATAGTTAGATCAAACAAGGAGGCAACCCTCCTAGAAAACAGAGAAGTGAATTCAGCCAGGGATATATCAGTGCATCCTGCTATGTCAGAAGAACCATTACGTAATGAGAAAAGAGATAATTCACAACCAGTTACTTTAGTACTTTCCAAAGAAAATTGTGCCCTTGAGATTGTAGAGGAAATTAATGTTAACTCTAACAATCCATTTGATTCTCTAATTGAAGAAGTGTCACCAGCTTCCAGTCCTGGCTTCCCAGTATCATCTGAAGAAATACGACCATCTCAGACTGTATCTCCCTGTAGTGTAAAAGTTTGTGGTACACAGTATGAGAAAAGTAAAAAATGCTCTCAGATTGAGGTGGAAGATTTGCCCATAACAGAAAAAGAAAATTGTTCTGTTTATTCCACTTACCCAGTGGGAAAAGGCGACTTAACTCAAGTACAACAAATTCAGCTTTCAGCTGAAGTGCCTCTGAAGTTAACTGATCATCCAGGTACCAAAGGTAGAGTAATCCTTCCTGGTAAAGCAAGTGAAGGTATTGTCATAAGTGACCATGATGAGGTTTTAGCTTTCTCAGAAAAGGTACAGTGCTGTGATGCAGAGTTAAATAAGCCTGCCTCTGTTGCCAAGTATGAAGGTGATTTTAAACCTTATCTTGAAAAACTGGCAAAATCAGGAAATCCTTTGCAGCCAATTAGTTTAGAGAACAGAAATTTAGACTTTAAACACCTTTACTTAGAGTCCAGTAAGCCTCTACTTAGTCCTAGGAAGATTACTGAAAGTAAGTCTTTGGCAGACACGTTGGTTTCTACAACTCACTTAAGTGGAATAATGAATACACCATTCAAACAGACTAGCCCTAAAAGCATAAAAAATACCCGAGACTGTGACTTGAAAATAGATGCCACTGATGGAGCTGATGTTACACAGGCATATATGCACCCAGAGTTTCTAAATCTTAATTTTTCCTCAGTTGGAACTACAAGACTACCAAGTGTAAACTCAGGCTATCCAACACAGGAAATATCTGTAGTCAGAATGGCCCATTTACTTAACACTGAAACAGAAGCTGATTTATATGACAAAAACACAGATCTCAGCACTACGGGACCTCATTCTCACCCTTATACAAAAGATGAACAGAAAACCCAGGTGCTGCAGAGTGCATCAACATGTGAAGTAAAGGAGCTGTGGAATGGTGAGGGTTTCCCTGTGTGTGCTGCTTCTGACCAAGACACAGCAAACACCAGTGAAAGTATTGATAAGGATTCTTCAGATTCCTTGGTTTCAGAATCCTTTGACCCTCTTGTCTGTCGAGTTTCTGAAGAGCAGATTGTCAGTAAGAGCACTAATGAGAGGCACAGAGTCTACACAGAATCTAAAACCCTTGTCAGAGACACAGAGATGAACATGGACATTAATATGTGCTATGAGCCACTTTCTGGAGACTTTGATGAAGACACTCTTAATTTTAGAAATCCCAAATTAAGTTTGGAGAATTCATGTACTTTGAAAGGTAGTCATGACAGCAAAAAAGAAGATGCTGCAAAAAGTAGTTATGACTCTTGCATGAACTTAAACAATAGAGATAATGAAGCTTGGGGCTACTCTAATAACAAGAAGGTTCCAAAGCTGGAGATAAACATTCCTCCCAAAAACTGGGCCATGGGCCTAAAGAAGGATAAGTACATGCCAGCTTATGTCCAAATCCCTGACTTCCAAGGTATCCTCAGGACTTACACAAATTTCACTGTCACAAGAGAGGTCAAAGATGAAAGGAAAACTAATCTGAAGAGCCATCCAGGTTCTACTACAAATACAAATGTCAACCTGCTCAGCTCCTGGACTTGGCAGGTGGCAGAGGACCTCACACAGAATACTTTAGACATGGAATACCTACGTTTTGCACATGAGGTAAAGAAAGTAGCAAAGAATAGTTACCCTCAGCAATCTGCCTTAGAACCTAACAGTATCTTTTGGAAAGAATTATCTGCCCAAGTTGGAGCTTTCCCTTCAACAAAAGTATCTGAGGCCTCAATTTTATACCCGGAGTCCAAAAGCCCTATTCTGGTAACAATTGTACACTCCAGCAGCAGCAGACAGCAGACTCCACAGAGAAGAAACTGCTCACCTAGCAATCTGCACAATTCTTCCTTTTGGAAAGAGAAATGTCACAGTGGAAGTCTTATAACTTCTCAAAGAAATCAGACTGTTCCTTTCCATCTCAATAAACTAAGATATAGAAGTACTTTGAAAGACTCTCGCAATGATATTTCTCTTATCCTAAATGAATATGCTGAATTTGACAAAGTGATGATGCATAGCAACCAAGTTGTTTTCCAAGATGGAGATTTCAATGTGACCTCTGGAGAAGCCACATCCCAGCAGCTGTATCCTTCTTTCCCAAGACTGTCAGTCTCCTACAAAAATATGATTACAGACTTCTGTGACAATTTGCATGTCAAACTAAAGAGTGTTATGCAAGAGGCTTCTGAGGGTCCCTTCCAGTTTTACCTTGTTGAAACGGAAGATAAATCATTCTTCTTACGAACAAAGGTAAAGTGGCTGTTCATTCTTAATACTATTTTAATTGCCTTCAGTTTATTTTAGGAGCAATGAACTTAGCAGTTTAGGCTCCAGAAAGTACTTAGGTTTTACATAAAAGCTCAGTCTTTTCTTTCTTTTTTTTTTTTTTTTGCTTTTTTGCTTATGTGGTGCTGAGGAATCAAACCCAGGGTCTCAGGCATGCAAGGCAAGCGCTCTACCACTGAGCCAACTTCCCAGCCCCAAAAGCTACTCAGTGTTGTTATATTTCAAATGGAAGACAGATAAATTCTGAGAGGATAAAATGAAACAAACTGGTGAATTGATACACATCTGGCCCCTACCAACTCAAGATTTCACCATGGTTTCATCATCAACCATGTATTCAACCAGGAAATAAATGATCCTAGTAATCGGATTTTTTTTTTTAACATGGGCAAGGTAACGAGTACATTTCTTTCTTTTTTTTTTTTTTTTTTTCTTGTAATCAGGATTTTTTATTGGTCGGTTTTGGTGCTTGAACTCAGGGCCACCTGAGTGCTGTCCCTGAGCTCTTTTGCTCAAAACCAGTGCTCTATCACTTTGAGCCACAGTGCCACTTCTGGTTTTCTGGTAGTTAGTCGGAGATGAAAGTCTCACAGACTTTCCTGCCAAGGCTAACTTTGACTGTGATCCTTATATCTCAGCCTCCTTAGTAGCTAGGCTTACAGGTGTGAGCTACTGGTGCCAGCCTAGTAATCAGATTGTAAAAGGAAACATTTTTCTAAACCAAAAGAGGTTCATCTCATGCTCCATATTACAAGAAGAAAATATGTAGTAATAATTTTTGGAGGTTCTGTATTTCAGTATTAGAAATAATACATGTGAATTATGAGCATATGTCCACCCTTGTGACTTTTTGTAGAAGTTAGTCGTGGCACAAATTCTAGAATGTCCTATGGTGAAAGTGCTGCAGAGAGAAGAACACGTGAGAGCAGAAGCAATGAGGATGACCCTGGGATGACTGGATGTGGGTCAGAAGGGTAGACAGGAGCCAGGCAGGACAGCAGCTGTCAGCATGGCTGCATGTAGTGTGTACTGTTGAGAGATAAAGGGCTGATGTTAGGAAGGGACATCTTACGAAGTTACCTTATCATAGACTTTATCTTGATGTCACTGGTCACCTAAGCCACTGAGAAGCATTTACAAAAGATGAATAGCAGCATATTTGCATTTTAGAGTGTTACCTTCAATAAATGGAGAACAAATTGTCACCTGTTAGAAGCTTGTTTGTCACAGCTTGTTTTCTTCCATAAAGTGGCTATGTATGTCATGTAAATATGGTGTCATTTGATTCCCCTCCCCCCAAATTTGTAGTTTTTTCTTTAGCATAAACTCTTCCCCATGTCCTCTTTATTCTAAGGCTCATTTTGTTCTTCAGTCTTTAACAAGTGACTGCTGGGTTTGGTTTGTCCTGTCTTTCACCTCTATGTTATTGCTTCAAGTTCCTTGCCATTTTAGTGAGTAACATAGTTGAAAAGACATTGAGTGATGTTGTATGATGACTTACACTTAAAATCCCAGAGATTGGGGGGTGGGGAGAGACAGTGGTTCAAGGCTGAAATGTTAGCAAGTCAGTAAGTAGTACACCTGGTAGTATACACACATCATCTCAGCAAGGAAAGATGCCGTAAGTAGGAGGGTCAGAGTCCAGGACAACTCAGACCAAAAGGGAACATGGCTTAAGTGGTAGAATGCCTGCATAGCAAATGGGAGACCCTAGTTTCAAACCCCAGTATAACCAAAGAAGTAAAAATAAAGAATGATCTTCCCCAGTCTTTTGGGAGATGCTTGGCTTCCAAAAGCCATTTGGAAATTAATTTTGTTACATGTCCAATCCCAGTGTGCTTGAATGAATCAGAAATGAGGAAGCCAATGGCTGGCGGCTCACACCTGTAATCCTACCTACTCAGGAAGCTGAGATCTGAGGCTCACGGTTCAGAGCCAGCCCAGGCAGGAAAGTCCATGAGACTCCTATCTCCAGAAAACACAAAGTAGCACTGTGGCTGAAGTGGTAGAGCACTAGCCTTGAGCTGAAGAGCTCATGACAGTGCCCAGGCCCAGAGTTCAAGCCCACGACCCACTCCAAAAAAGAAATGAGTGAGTCAGTTGAGTTAGTATCATGATCATGTATGTTTTGCTACAGAGTAATTAACTTCTTTTTGCTTCTATCTTCTCCAAAATAACCAAGTAATTATATGAGTTTTCCATTCCTTTCCAGTTCCTTTCCAGACAGCACTGGGATGTTAAATTTTCATGTAGAAGGGAAATCATGGCTATTTTATCTTCAGTGGGACTACTTCTGGAAAAGCTTGTTTTCTAAACTGAATATATTTTTCAAGAGAATATTTTATCATTTAACCACTATTTGCAAGTAACAAATTTGTGCAAATGGTAAAATTTTTGAGAGAAAATGTTAAATAAGTTTATTTTAAATAAATGAGAATTAGGGTACTATCAATAGAATAGTGTCATCTTCAATAATTCTTCAGTGATTAGTCCTGAAGCATTAATTAAGGATGGGATGGAGTTAGTGATGAAATGTTTGTTTATGAAACAAGGGGATGCACAAGGTCTTTACACAAAATAATAATTGCCCATAACACTACAGGGTTTGATTTTTTTTTTAATGTGTTCATTACAGAGCTGAGCACTAGTGACTCACACCTGTTGTAATCCTAGCCACTTTAGGAGGCTGAGATCTAAGGATACCATTTGAAGTAGAGCTGTGGCTGAAGTGCCTTGAGCACAGAATCATAGAGATAGTGCCTAGATAGGCCCTGAGTTCAAGCCCCAGGACTGGCATTTAAAAAAAAAAAAGTGTTCATTCTAATAGTTTATTTGTTTTTTTTTGGGGGGGGCAGTGCTGAAATTTGAACTCACAGCCTCAAGCTTGTTAGGCAAGCATACTGCCACTTCAATCATGTCCCAGTCCTTTTGCTAAAAGCATCTTTTTCAGATAGGGTCTTATGCTTTTCTCCTTGCCACCTTCAGGGTATAATCCTACCATTTGCCTTCAAAGTAGCTGGGATTATAGTCATGTACCATCACACACAGCCTCATTCTAGTAGTTTATTAGTAAAATAATGATGACTCAAGATTAAATATTTTAGTAAGTCCTTTGTAAAACGAAATCTTACAAGAATTTCTTAAATATCAGGCCATCCATTATGAAGTATTTAAAGTCATTCGTTCAGGATCCAAGGCTGATACGTCAACGTTACACTGTATTTTTACAAAGAAAATAGTTTTGACTAGGTCATACAGTGGCAACGTTGCATCCTTCATTTAGAAATAACATGTTCATGGGGTTGGGAAGGTGGCTCAGTGGTAGAGCGCTTGCCTTGCATGCCTGAGGCCCTGGGTTCGATTCCTCAGCACCACATAAGCAAAAAGAAAAAAGCTGGAAGAGCGCTGTGGCAAATGGTAGAGCGCTAGCCTCAAGCTGAAGAGCTGAGGGACAGCGCCCAGGCCCAGAGTTCAGGCCCCATGACCAGACCTTAAAAAAAAAAAAAAAAAGAAAGAAAAGAAATAACATGTTCAAATCTCAGTGGAAGCTGGGTACTGGTAGCTCACACCTGTAATCCTAGTTATTAAGGAGGTTGAGAACCAAAGATCGATCATGTTTGGACCCAACCTGCACAGACAAATCTGAGAGACTCTTTTTAAAATCTCTAGTTAACCAGGAAAAAGCAAGAAGTGGAGACATGGCTTACGTAGTAGGGTGCTAACCTTGAGCAAACAACTACCTCAGTGGAAGGCACTTTCTCATCCTTAGAAACTGTTTTGTGAGTTAGAATAATCAGCATTCCATCGTTACCGTATTGATGATCTATTCAAAGATAGAGATCTATAAGTCCCTAGTAGGGATATGAAATTCCCAATTGATTTTTAATGTTTTAGTAGTAGCTCTAGCAGTGGCGTTTAAAAGTAAATAACTAGGGCTGGGAAAGTGGCTCAGTGGTAGAGCCCTTGCCTTGCATGCCAGAGGCCCTGGGTTCGATTCCTCAGCACCACATAAGCAAAAAGAAAAAAGCCGGAAGTGGCGCTGTGGCTCAAGTGGTAAGAGCACTAGCCTTGAGCTGAAGAGCTGAGGGACAGCGCCCAGGCCCAGAGTTCAGGCCCCATGACCGGACCCCCCCCCAAAAAAAAGAGTAAATAGCTAGTGAACCCAAAGATATTTTATGCTCTAGAAAAAAATTGAAAGTCATTTATGTAGATTGGTTTGGTAGTTTTTAAAAAGTTAGCTTTTGTACTTTATGGACATGAAAAAATTATTATAAATTGCTTTACTTTAAGCTTCTAATTTCTTTTGAACTTGTAATACTTGTTACTAAGAATCCAATTTATCATTTTTATATGTAAAAGTTTGGTAATTTATACAAATTGCTACTTAATGTTGCTTTGATAGGATATTCTATAATGACTGCTCTAAATCTTTCAGAACTTTCTGAGGAAAGGAGGCCATATGGAAATTGAACCTCAGCATTTCTGCAAAGTTTTTGGCAGAGAGAATGATATGCTAATAGTTATCATCAGAAATGAAGATATAGCATCACATTTGCATCAAGTAGGTTTGGAAACATCTTTCTTAACAAAAATAATGTATTCCCAACACTGAAGTTGTTCTGTAGTATCCATGCTTTTCTGTATTGGGAAAAGCTAACGTGCACTTCCTAGTAGACCTGCAAGTGAGAAGATGGAGACAAGGGGGGTGCACTATGGCATACTGCATAGGGCAATTGTAGGGTATTTGTAGGGCAGTTCGAGCTTCATGAAGTCAAACTATTCATATTAAACAAGGGAAGTACTGTGTGAAAGTGTGATTTCTATATTTTCTCACTTGACATCTGTATCCTAAAATCTGTATCACTTGATCTCTGATAAAAAAGAAATGTTGATTAAATGGCTTAGGTGTATTCAAGTGCTATTGCATCTGCCTAAAAGAGGAAGGGAGAAAGAGAAATTTTGGTTTTGTGAACATTTCCTTATTCCCAGAAAGGGCCACGGCCTCAGTGTTTTGTCCAGGCCCACTGTTATCAGTGGGCAGTGAGCTGTTGATAGCACAGTTCTAAGTTTATGGGACCTGACCAGTTACTGTATAGGTACCCAAAACCCCAGATGCACTCTTCCCCCTTGAATTTTTTCTAAGTCTTTGGAAGTTTTTGAGAGGTCTTTAATTTTGACAAATTCATTTTTGTTGATGAGCTGAGAAATACTACTTAAACTTGTGACCAAGTTATTAGTATGGGCTAAAGATACTTTCACCTGTTGGGATAGAAAAGTGACAAAAGTGTTTAACATCATGTGTTTGATGCACCTGCCTTGACAAAGGTCTTTTTATGTCCAACAGATTCCTTCTTTGCTGAAGATGAAACATTTCCCCAGCATTATGTTTGCTGGAATAGACAGCCCTGAAGATGTTCTTAATGACAGTTACCAAGAACTGTTTGGCACTGGAGGCTTTGTGGTATCAGATGACAAAATATTAGAAGCTTTAACGTTAGGTTGGTCTTTACTTTGGCCCTTTTTTTAAAAAAAATTTGTTATAAGGTGATATACAGAGGTGTCACAGTTACGTAAGTCAGGTAATGAGTACATTTCTCTTTTGACAAATGTCACACTTTCCTCCATTCTCTCCTAGTTTTATTTTGGCCTTGTTGTTCTTTGTTTGAAACCTTGCCAGTTCAGTTCCTCCTCCAGTGAAAGGAATACTGTTGCATCTTAAAAAATCACTATTTGAGTGATTATGGCTCATGCCTCTACTTGGGAAGCTGAAAATTCTGACTGAAGTCCAGTCAAGGCACAAACACGTAACTCCTTTTCAACCAGTAGTTGGGTATAATGGCACAAGGTGCCATACATGGCAGGCTGAAAAGGATTACAGTTCCAGGCCAACCAAATCAGGAAAGTCCTCAAGCCTCTATACAAATAGAAGAAGCTGCATAATGATGTGAACATAGGATCATAGTCTAAAACTTCCTGTTCACTCACCTGAACAGGAAGAGAGACTCTTTCAAAAATAGTGTATAAAAGGGCTGGAGAAATGGCTTAGTGCTAGAGCCCTATCCTAATGAGCACAAACTGAGTTCAAACCCCAGTTACCCCCCCCACACACACAAACACGAGATGTTACCAATTTAAGAATCTCAGTTGTATTTCTGTGTATTACATGTATGTATGTATGTGTGTGTGTGTATATATACGTATATATGCATACATACATATCTGTCTATATATTACTGTGCTACGCTCAGCACTTTTTACATACTAAGTCTTACTAAAACTTTATTTAAATTTATTTAGGATAGTGTTGAACGAGCATACATACTATCTTTGGTCTTCTAAACATTCTTCTCTATTCTTTTCTATTCTTTTTTCTACATTTAATACATACTAATTCTTTTAGTACTACTCTTGTTTACTCTTATTTAAACTGGTTATTTTTTTTTATCACCAAACCTGCTTTTAAGTTTCTTCCTTCTCAGGGTCGTCAAACTTCTTCACTTAGCAAATAAGTCCACTGCGAGAGAAACATATTGCTTAGAATCATCTGTGTTCTCCATGTCTGATGGCACCACCCTTAATGAGTTGTTTGAACATTCAAACAATTCACTTCTCTCAGGTCAGATACCTTTATGTACAACCCAAACCTGCCCTAGGGCGGATCAAATTAGAAGTGGAAACATAGGATCTGCCTTAGCATGCATTCAACATGGAAACTTAGATTTAAAAGTGTGCTCTGTGACACTGGGCTTTGCTTCTGTCCCATCACATGGCTGGTCCAGGGAGATCTCTCATCACTAGTGACTTCCATGCTCTTTTTTAAGCAGTCCTTTCCCACTGTTGGTGAGCAGTAGGACTGAAGTAAGGAGGTTGTGCCTCTGACAATGAGTGGATGGAAGTGCCAGGGATGTACACTAAACCAAGGCTACAAGTGATAATCATTAGACTTCGCATGAGACAAAAAAGAAAACACCTGAAACACAACTTTTCTTTCCAAATTTAATCTACAGCTCAGCTGAAGGAAATGATCAAAATCCTACAAACACTAAATGGGAATGGAAATGGAAGATGGAAATGGTTGCTTCACTACAGAGAAAATAAAAAGCTAAAGGAAAGTGCAAGGTAAGACTTGGTGTGAGACAGGAATGGAGATGCCTTGTCCCCCCTGTGCCCAGTACTCTAGGCTGCTGTCAATCGCAAATTGCATCACTGACACAACTGAGCTCCGTGGGCCAGCTTTTGGGTTTGTTTTTGTAGCAAAACATCAAATAAAAGAAGCCATGTGTTAATTGTTTGATCTACACATGTGTCCAAAGTCACAGCAGTCAAACTTATAAACCATAAACACCCATATAATTATATTCAGGCTCTGCTACTATGAACTACAAAAAATACTATTTCATATATAACCATTCAGGAAGCTTGAGACCTGCAGGATTTCCATTTGAAGCTGCACACGGGCAATTAAGCTCTTAATTAGCTAGCAACATGCTGGACTAGAGGCATGGCTCAAGTGGAACAGCAGCAACCACGAACGCAAAAGAAAAAGACCCTGATGAGTTCAAACCATTGTAATGTCAGAAATTAAATGTGTGTGTGTGTGTATTTCACTGTGGACTAGGTGCTTAAATGCCTTTGGATATGTTACATTGCCATCATTCAAGAAAGAAAAGAGACCAATCCTTAATTATCAAGTCTGTCTTTAATTGGCAAGTCTTTAAGTGTTAAGCAGGGGTTTTAAGAAGAGAAAACCTTGTTTGATTGTTTGGCTGAAGGTATCTAGGGCCTATGATATTCTCATTCAAACATGCATCCCTGAGAGATATGTCTTCCTTGTATAGTGTCTAAACTTGATGAAGGTCCACATGCCAAGTTTTGAAGCTGGGTTGCAACTTCAAAAACTTACCCTTCAAATGAAATAGTTGCCTTTTTTTTTTAAACCATAGTGCTTTCTTCACATTAGGAGCAAACATAGCTGAAATAGTAACTAAGATGCTTTAAGGTAAAGAATAGGGTTTTTGTTTTTACATTACTGGGATTTGAACTCAAGGCTTTGAAATTGACAGTAGGTAGATGCCCTAGTGCTTAAACCATACCTCCAACCCTTTTTGTTATTTTGCTTGTGCCAGACTGCCTGTAGTTCCTGTGTAGCTGGAATGATAGCTGCACGTTATTGTGCCCAGCCTTTTCTCATGAAATGGGTGGAATCTCAATAAACTTATTGACTAATCTGGATCCACAATCCTTCCATTTTCCACCTCTCACAATCCGAGTAGCTAGGCTGGGGTGTGAGCCACTAGAGCAAGGACAAGAACATATTTTCAGGAAAGGCTTTACCTTGATAGAGGACCCTAGCAGAGAGAAAAAGGTTTCATTGACAAGAAGGTAAAGAGAGTAGAATGTACAAGGCTTATTCAGACCAGGGTACACAAGCAGGAATTTGCAGAAAACATTGTTAGGAGGCACTATAAGGGAAAAGTCTAGCTTAATAACTAGAGAAGCAGCACACTTACACAATATAAATTGAAGTGACAAATTCTGGTTATTCTTTTTTGGGGGGCGGGGGGTGGGGAACAGTAGTGTGACAGCTTTAACTCAGGGCCTTCATTAGAATCACGGGTACATTTTGCTCTTAAGGGTAGTAACAGAATTTTAAGGAAGGTAGGAAACAAGAAAATTCTGGTTACTACCTAATGTTTGTTATCTAATCACAGACATGAGAGGTAGCATCAGTACTGTAAGAAATTTGTGGGTATGAAAAGGATGACATTAAGATGCATTGTGTTCATAAGCTGCTTTACTGAAGGGCAACTCCTTTGTACTACTTAAAATAATAAATTCATTGGTGTACAGCTAATTAATGTAACGCAGTGAAAAGGCTACCAAGACAACTTGAAGTGCAGTTAGATGTAGTTATGATGCTTCTGGCTCAGCATGAGTGCAAATTTACAATTGTATTTACAATCATGTTTTAGGGCTGGGAAGGTGGCTCAGTGGTAGAGCGCTTGCCTTGCATGCATGAGGCCCTGGGTTCGATTCCTCAGCACCACATAAACAAAAAGAAAAAATGCCGGAAGTGGCGCTGTGGCTCAAGTGGTAGAGCACTAGACTTGAGCTGAAGAGCTGAGGGACAGTGCCCAGGCCCAGAGTTCAGGCCCCACGACTGGACCCCCCCCCAAAAAAAAAGAGGCTCAAAAAAAAATCATATTTTAAGGTAGTGCACCTTCAGGAAAGGGTTATGAAAAAGAAAACTGATAATGGGATCTTATTTTAAAATGACTAGATAAAACGAAATAATTTGTGATTTAGTAAATCACAAAGGGATACTGAATTTGATTTTGGCTATTAATATTCAAATCTATTTTCAGAGTGGATCCAATTGCATATAGAAAAAACTTAATTCTGAAATCATATCAAAGTGCCAATATCATTGAATTGCTTCACTATCACCAGTGTGACTCTCAGTCATCAACAGAGGCCGAAAGTTTGAAATGTTTGATAAACCTGCAAATTCAGCATATTAATGCCAGGTTTGCTGTCTTCCTAATAGGTATGTTCACATTCAGTTTTCATTGTTCAGCTAATGCCAAATTAGGTCAGCTCTAGAAATGTCCATCCAAGTAGTCAAATATGGGCTAACACCGTAGTAGGCAGTCAAGCTATATGTGTGTTTTGTCAAGTGTACCTTAGACCAGGAGGGGTTGGGCACAGGTACCAGTTGAGTTGTGTGATAGATAAATCTTCTGACAAGTTTCCTCAGTTCTTACAAAGTACTTTCTCAAATTCTTTGCTTTATTGATGCAGCTGATCACAAAGCCATCTTAATTGTGAACCACACACACTTTCTTCTTCTTCTCTGCTATACCAGTGTTAAGAAATTGGAGGCCTGGGTGCTGGTGGCTAATGCCTATAATCCTTATTACTTAGGAGGCTGAGAACTGAGCCAGTCCTGGCGGGAAAGTCCATAAAAATCTTTATTTCTAATTAACCACCAAGAAGCTAGAGCTAGAAGTAGAATTGTGGCTCAAGCAGTAGAGCCAGTAGCCTTGAGCAAAAAAAGCACACAATACCCGGATCCTGAGTATTATTAATGATATTTTTCACCATTTTTTTTCTCTTTTCAGATAAGCCTACTTTTACTGCCTCCACCGAAATCTTTGAAAATAGTGGAATCCTTGTTACAGATATAAATCATTTCATTGAAAATATAAAAGACGTAGCAGCTCCATTTAGGAGTAGCTATTGGTAAGAACACTTTTTGTATTCCATCACTCTGGGTTTCTGAGGAGAATCTTAACTGGGTATCTGTGGCTCACACCTAAATGCGGAGCTACTCGGAAGATCTGAGGACCTGGATTTGGACCCAACCCCAGGCAGAAAAATCGGTGTGTCATTTCAGCTAACAAAAAGCCAGAGATATGGTGAGAGTAGGAGGGCCAGAGTTCAAGCCCATACTGGCACACACAAACCAACAGAACATGTGCAGCATGCTATAATTTTTAACTTACTGTTAGCTTCCTTAATCATAACTAATGATACAACTAACCAGCTGAGCACTGGTGCCTCATTCCTGTAATCCTAGCTAGTAGCTCAGGAGGCTGAGATTGAGGATCATGGTTCAAAAGCAGCCTGGCAGCAAAGTCCATGAGACTCTTATTCCCAATTAACTCCCTAAACACCAGAAGTGGAGCTGTGGTTCAAACTGGTAAAACAGCTCAGGGACAGTGTGTAGGCCATGAGTTAAAGTCCCATAGCCTATAAAAAATTAAAATACTTATTTCATCTAATTTTGTTTCCACAGGTGATTCAACTAAGCTTACCTACACATGGAGGACATCAGCAAATGAAGATTCCTCACACTTGAAATAATGTTCTACAACTTTCTAAGTTTCCTCTTTTTTTACTTTTCTTGAACTTCTGACTTCACAGTGGTATAGTAGTTGTCATTAACTTTGAGTGGTAGTTTAAAGTACTATTTTAAGTTATTTTTAAGATGCCTTCAAAACTTAATTGAGCCTATTAAAGACAAGAACTTCATGTTTACATAGACAAAATCAACTTTAACAAAGCTTTGTTTTTCTAACATGGTATTTTAGACGTTTTGACACATTTGTAAAAAATGTACTTATTAAATGTTTTCTTTGTTGTATATAAAGCAACACTACAGAAAGGTAAAACACTTTTATAAACGGTACAAATTTATAAACTTCCATTTTCTCAGTTTTTGTAAATACTGCACTACAAAAACTCACCCTGAAGAAAAAGCAATCACTTATTTATGATATTAGAAATCATTTCTATAGTAATCTTTAAGACACAAAACCCAGCAAAAAACATTTGTAAGATACTATTTGGAGCAGATTTTTATAACTAGTTTGTTTCTTTTTTAAATAAAGTAATGTAAAAATCACCTGTTTCTGCAATGAATTTTAGAGCAAAATTTAATTAAAATGTATGAAATATCTTAACACTTTTTATGCCAATCATTGGAGTAACTAACTAGCTTCCAGAAGAATCCTTTCCAAAGCGCCTTTTCATTTGGCCAAGGTAAAACCCTTCTCATCCTTCAAAGATATTGAGCAGCAAGCTGCAGAAAGGCCAAGCAGGCTGTCCAATTGCTTTACATCATTCCTACTTACCTAAGGTGCCATTGATACTGTTGTTTTTCTCATGAGGACTATTAATGCAACTTTCCACTAACTGAGATTTTCCTATTAACACTTGCAGGGACCTAGGTAACTACCCTTGGTACACTTCACGTTACTGAGGAAAAGTACATATAGCCCTACCTGACATTCTCTCTCCTTGCTGAAAGGCCATCCAGTATCACAAGGCTCCCTTCCTCATCCTGCCTTTACTGTTTCACTGCACCACACCATATGAAAGCATGCTACCTCTGTGCCAGCCCACCAGAAAATGTGTTGATGTTTTTGCTCCAGTGGCATGGTTCGTGAATTATACAATTTTGAGTGAAGGCTATGAAAACGTTCTTTTCACTCAGTGGGAACATGTCACAATCTGATTAATCCCTTTCCCCATTCCATAACAGTGAGAGTTGATTTTCATCATTGGGAAACTGCAGCATTGGCAGCCGTCACTGAAGAAAAGGCAGTACCTGTTAACTGCTGCTGAAAGCAAAACTCACATTCTGTCAACTAAGAAAGCCACAGGACAGGCAGGGCCTGATCTGACATCGAGATGAGGTGCTGTGTGTTAGCGCCTGTGAAAAAACGGATGACTCTCCTGCCTGGTGTTGACCTGGGTCAACACCTACTAAAGGCAATGTGTGTAACAGCTGTGCTGTGGCATTCACAATCAGGACACAAACAGACCAATGTATGAGTGCGGTGGTTTCCAGAGTTTCGCTTTATTTTGCAGTACAGAAATCATTTGGAGCCATTTTGAGACAGACATCAATGAAGTAGAGGCTCTGTCAAATCAATACTGCATTGCAGCTTGGTCCACTGAAGAAGCCATACCTGGGAAACAAGATGCTTCTACATTTTACCTGCTTTGAGATGTGTTCCTCTCCCCTTCTCTCATCAATTTTACTAGGTTAAAACACCACATACTGGCTTCCTCCTAACGACTCCTTAAGCCTGGAGTTTGGTTAGAAACTTATGCCCATAAACCAAACTTGTGGCAATCCTATTTGGGCCCTGCCATAATACTTGACATAACACAAAATGTAATAATGCACAACACTTAAGAAATGCTGTCCCAAACTAGAAAATTTAGATTCAATGTCAAGATGGCACACAAATTGTATAGATCCAGCTCTTGAGCAGTGGAAGCACACAACTGCAAAGGCTACACTGATTAAAAGATACAAATACTGTATCAAGTTCTCTATCAATATCACAATGTATGTTTAAAACTGCTCCTTCACTACAAAAAAGCCAGTCTGGTTGGTTAAATAGAACAGAATGTGGTAAACAGCCAGTTCTGAATAGCCACTCCATGAAAACAAGTTAATACATGATATTAGAGAGATGAAGGGGAGGAGTATTTACTGGTTACAGCACTCTCAATCTTCATTTTGATTACAAACCAGGCCTTACAATATTGATTTCATACAATATGCACTATTTGCCAATTTTTAAATGTGTCCTAATTAGATAACACATACTGCTGCTAGTCTTCCCCATAGATATCATTTTTCTTGCGCTTCATTTCCTCAAAGTCAAACTCGGATCCTGTCATCCTCTTATAGATGTCTTTTATGTCATCACACGTTGTCTCAAAGTGAGTTGTAGCATCATATGCACGGGAAATAAAGATCTGAAAACAAAAGTTTATGAGAATTTTAAGATTATATAGGCTATTTCCCTATAAAGCCTGATACATTTTTGTCAAGTCACGCACCTGGCTGTCTGTTCCCAAATCTTTTGGTACGAGGAGGTCACTGATGCTAACAAATCTGGAAGAAAAAGAAATTGGCAGGTTAGTTCCCACACCCCATCTCTGCCTATATTTTCAAAGTTTAAGGTTGGTAGAGGAAAGACAGCCCACACCAATGGCTGCCAGCCTGGTTCTCGGGTTCACTACCATTGAGCCCAAACTAAGACCTCAGTTTGTATCCTGGTTGACATAAATGAATACAACTTACTTCTGTTCAATTGGTTCCAAAAGCTCCAAAGCTGGTCTAATTTCTTTCTCAGGTTCCTTTGTTTCCACAGTTGTACTAACGATCGCAATGTACTTGCCCTGGGCAGCCACATTGTGTGCAGACGAGATCATGCAAACATAGATATCTACAAACAAATAACAGCTCAGTCTTTCATGGTTTGTAACCCTGGGACATGAACATTCCAGATTTCACATAATTGATTTAATTATGAATAAAAACTACTGGGAAGAGCTGAGATCTTCAAGGCTTAAGTTCCTTAGGAAGATGAACTGGGTCAGAGTAAGAACATATCTGTAATAACTGGAACTTCTTTTAATCTTGTTATGGTTTGGATGTGGCTCATGTGTTAAAGACTTGGTCTCCATCTGGTGAAGCTAATAGGAAAACGACTGTGGTGGCACTGGCTTCATCAATGGTCAGTCAACTGGTCAGTCTACTCTGCTCCCTCTCTGTGCTTCCCAATCACCACTGAGATGATGGTAAGTGGCTTCCTCTACCACACAGATAACATTAGGTCTCATTTCAGCTCCCCGAAATGGAATCTACTGACTGAACTAAGTCAAAGTTTTCCCTTCTGGAAGCGTCAACAACAAAGGCTAACAAATGAGTTGAAGACTGGGTCAAAAATGATGGAAGACTCCAACTTTAAATGATACAAAAATTTCTTCAGTGTACAAAATGAGGTATCTGGGTTTGAAACCCTAAACAATGTAACAAATTTCTACCAACATTTACTACTTACCAGACTTTCGATTGACTTGGTTCTGTGGAATAATAATCTGGCAGGAGTTGGCATCATTGGTATTCTTGATGGGATGGCTGAGAACACAGATAACTCTGATAACCTGGCCCACTTTTTCTACCCGATCTTTTACATAGCTGGGGTCACAGATGAGCTGCTTACAGCGAGCAATCTAGAACAAAATATTTAAAAGATTATAAAGAAGACATAAATGGAAATACATCCTGTGTTCATGCATAAGACTATCTAGAATTCAAAACTACCTCAAGAAAGAACAGTGCTGGAGGAATCCCTATAAAGCTACATCCACGCAATGGTATGCAAGATAAAGAACCCAGCAATAAATGCTTCACATTTACGGTCAAATGACTTTTGACTAAACCAAAAACATGGGCTGGAAAGGTGGCTCTGTGGTAGAGTGCCTTGCACGCATGAGACCCACAACCGGACCACCCTCCCCCCCCCAAAAAAAGCTTCATGATACTGAACTTAATAATGTCTTTCTTACATCTCAGACACTGACAACAAAAGAAAAGAAAAAAATAGACCAAGTGGTCTTTGTGAAATTTTAAATTTTTGTGCATCAAGAAGTACTATTGACAGTATAAATGAGAAAGCCATGAAATGACGGAATATATCAAGAACTCAAAATGTTATTCAACCTCACTAAAATCTGATCTCAAATCCTCATTTCCCATGAAATTGGAGCACCCGAAAAGGTTGAGGTTTCTACGTTTACTAACAGCTCAGTGCACTGGGAAGGGTAAAGCAGAAGAATTCAATTATAAGATTTACATTTTATAAAGAGCCCAGCCTGGGCTAGGAAGGTGGCTCAGTGGTAGAACGCTTGCCTTGCAGGCCCTGCGTTCAATTCCTCAGCACCACATAAGCAAAAAGAAAAAAAGCCTGAAGTGGCACTGTGGCTCAAGTGGTAGAGCTTTTGAGCTGAAGAGCTGAGGGACAGTGCCCAGGCCCAGAGTTCAGGCCCCACGACCAGACCCCCCCCCCAAAAAAAATAAAGAGCTCAGCCTCAAAACACCAAAAGCGTTTTAGGTTTCCAGGCACCAACAGCAAATGTATTTTGGAGTGCACGCATTACTAGCAGAACGGGCAAGGGCAATGACTAAGACAAAGGGCAGAAGTACTAAACAGTATGGTGACAAAAGGAAGGAATGAGTAATAATGTATTTAAAAACATACAGCTCTCTGACCAGCAATATCATCTTCACCTGAGTATTTTTTTTTGGTCAGTCATGGGACTTGAACTCTGGGCTTGGGTTCAGCTTAAGGCGAGCACTCTACCACTTAAGCTTCAGCACCCCTTCTGGTTTTCTGGTGGTTTATTGGAGATAAAGAGTCTCAGGGACTTTACTACCAGGGCTGGCTTTGAACCTTGATCCTCAGATCTCAGCCTCCTGAGTAGCTAGGATTATAGGCCTGAGCCACCGGTGCCGGGCTCACCTGAGAGTTTCTAAGAAAAGGCAGAGTTCTAAGGCCTCCTGTGTCAGAACTTGCACTAAAACCAGACTAGCATGGCATACAGAGTATTCAACTTTGAGTAACACTATTCAGAGCTCTGCCTATGTGGATGACCAGATCCACAGCTGAATCCTATATTAACCATCTAGCTAAGCCCAATTTCAACCAATAAATTCTGGATGGTAAAAATAAAGCCAAACAAAAATCTGAAAAATCTGGAGACAGACTCCAAAATACCCTTTAAATATGGGATACTTTTAAATTCCATAGTACTACATATTTTAGTCTTAAAAGAGCAAAGCAAACCAGAAAAGGTTAATATATTAAAAACAACCCAAGGCACATCAACTACACAACAATCATGGGGAACACCAACCACCTAACAAAATCGTATAGTCTAGAAGCTAGCGTCAATGTCCACCTTCAAATAAGCACTTTTTTCACAAGAATGTAGTAATTTTAAAATTGTAAAAGCTACTTACCTCTCCTTCAGATTTTACACCAACTACTTTTCCATTCTGCACAATGATTTCTTCAATGGGCTTGTTCAGCATGTAGGTGCCTCCATAAATAGCACTTAGCCTACAAAGGTTGTTAAACCTCCATTATAATACAGAATTGTTTCAGCTGCATAAGTCTCCCTTCTTAAGTCTGGAATGTATTAAGGACTATTTGTTCAATTTCTTTCTAGAAGGATGTTATAGAATCTATAGGTAAAGTACGGATTTAATAAGCTGAGTTAATTTCTCATACCATTACTGCATCAAAAGGATCCAATGACCAGTATTCGAGAGATAGTTTGTAAAAAAATCTAGTTCTTCCGCACATAAATTGTATACTTAGAAACAAAGATTATCAAAAGGCCCAGGAGAAAAGCAAACAGAAAATGGAGAAGAAACTAGAAGAGAAACAAGTGGCAAAGCAATTTACATGATTTACAGGGCTCTTCTGAGGGAACCACCTCTGTCTATGTAATACAGACAGGTTCAGACAGCCAGGACAGAAATGGGAAGCCTGCAGTCTATAGATTTGAGGTAAGGTAGAATTTGGGGTAGTCTGTAGGGGAGGCTGGGCACCAGTGTCACACACTGGTGCTATTCAGGATGCTGTGATCTGAGGGTTGCAGGTTCAAAATCAGCTTGGATAGTAAAGTCCCTTAGACTCATCTTCAATTACCAAGCTAGAAGTGGAGGTGTGACTCAAGTGGTAAAGCACTAGCCTTGAGCAAAAAAGCGCAGGGACAGAACCAAGGCCCTGAGTTCAAGCCACAAGACCAGCACAGGCAGGAGATGGGGACGGGGACGGGGTGGGGGGGAGAGACAGGAGAGGAGTAGCTACTTGTGTACAGGCCCTGAGTTCAATCCCCAGGACTACACAAAAAAGCATGTGTAGGAGGGAAACCCTGCAAAAAAAAAAAAAATGGGGGGGGGGTTATGTACAAAGGATTCAATGAGTCTGTATAAACTTTTCAAATATTAAAAGTTGTTCATACAAAAGGGAGAATTCAGCTGGGCACTGGGGTCTAAAGCCTGTAATCCTGAGCCCAGAGCACCAGCCTTGAATGAAAAGCTAAAAAAGAGCACTCAGGCCTTGAATTCAAGACCCAGTACTGGTCATGCATGTGTGCACACATCCTAAAAGGGAGAATCCAAGAGATCCAAAGAAAAACTTCAAATGATAAAAAGCTGAGCTGAGATTACAGTTTTAAGTGGCGGTTTTGGAGAATGGTGACCCCAGAAAGACTTCACCTTAGTGTTCAAAGATTCAAAGTAAAAAGGATTCACCCTAAGAAAGTAAAATCAAGCCTCCACAAGTTAATAATTTAAATGCTTACTTGACCAAAAACCAGCT